GATATCCACATACTAACAGAGGAGGAGACATCAACTGGTCTTGAAAAGTCTCAGCTTACCATCTAATGTTGATGTGAGCAGCTAGAAGAGGAAAATAATTTAAATTTAATTTATACTTTTATACCATCATCTCTTTTGTAGATTTAATACCAATTTTCAACTTGAAAAAGTCCACTTGTACCTATTTACATGTATAAAAGCATATTTAAGTTTCAGACCCCAAATGGACGCAAATTTATCATAGAAGATAAGAGCTACATGCAGTATACTGATACAGGGTACAGTCACCATTAGAATTTTAAAACCTAGTACATGTAGGTATACATGTTAAACAACGACAGGCTTTATTAATTGGAAAGTTGCCTGCTTTAATCCACCAGGGATCATACATGTAACATAGCCAACATTTAAGAAATTAAAAAAAAATTTTATCCATATGAAATTTATCCATGTAGTGAAATGAAGTCAACTTTTGAATTTCTGCACAGTTTAGTTTAAAAGAGTCTAGATATCTGCAGCAATAAAATGGGGGACAACTATCTTAATGAGCAACAGTATTTTTTCCAGTCTATTAATTTTTTACTTGCAATGAGTTTGATATCAACTTGGTGAATCTTATGATGACAGCACGCCATCTGCTTAAAGGAAGAATTCAATTATTATAGATTTTAATGGGTTGTGATGCTTAAAATAATTTGTGGTTTTCAAAAATTAGAATTCAAAATTTTACAGACCTCTGGGTACAATGGATGAAACTCTACATCAGTGACAGTATCTGTGTGTCCTGTCAACTTGTGGAGGTAAGTCCCTGAGCGGATGTCAAATATATAAGCCTGCAAATAATAAAACAAATGGATACATGGTACAGACCACGGTAATGTATGTGGAGGTAAAGGATCATCTTGTAATGAAAAATGTTTTACTTATTTCATTACTACTTTTACTTATGTTAAATGTCTTTTTAAAAATTAATTTAGAATCATTGATAATTGTAGAGTTTGTGTCTCCATACAGTTTTGATCAATACATTTTATTTATGCTATAAATCATTATTTTGCAGTATGAACACATAAAAAAAAGAGAGAGAGAGGAAATACAGTGTATACTTACTGCTCTGTCCTCTGCTCCAGAAGCAATAAACCTAGAACATGGACTGATGGCCAAACCACAGGAATGAGACCTGTTTATATGACCTTCATATTTTCTTATGCATCTGGTAGTAAAAAAAATAATGCAATATGCAACTGTCAAACCATATTTTACAAATAAAGTAGACTCTGAATAACTCAAACACTTCTAGGAAATTTGTTTGAGTTACACCAGGATTCAAGTTTAACTGTGTTCATAGAGTTTCAGCCCATATCAAAGCAAAAATCCATTCCACAAGTTTTTTTTCCAAGATAAATCATAATAGATGTTATAAGGTGAAGAGTTTTGAGGGGACTACTTAACTTGATACAAGACTCAATGCCGATTCTTCAAAAATGATTGCTACTCATAATAGGTAAATTGAATTACTAGTATCTAAAAATAGACAATGACATTGACCAGCATCCACATTGCACTAAGCTAAAAAGGAAGCTCAGCCAAATCAAGATAAGTTTCTTTTTAATTCCAAGTAAGGTTATTTGAAATGGGTAAGAACACACACAATTTTCTTGCATTCAAAATAGAAACTAGTTACCTGTTTGTCCTGAGGTCCCAGAGTTTTATGCAATCTGAGGCAGCAGCAGTGACAAACAAGTTGTAGCTCTCAGGGGGATGGCTGACATAGCTGGAGCCCTGCAACAAAACATGGCAAGCCATTGATTTAATTATCTATTTATCTGCTTATTTGGTACTAGCAGTTTTACAAAAGGCTATGACCTCACATTTGTACAACGTATTGGTCTTGTTTTCCATAGCAAGAACATAATGCTAAAACTATGACAAATGGAGATTCAAATAGGAGTTTATTACTGTTGTTGTCTCCTGTCAATAACATATTTTCGATGCCACTGTTACGGACATAATTGTGACACTGTTGATATTTCCTTACCTCATTCTGACACAGGACATGTATGGGCCTGGTATGTGCTTCCTCCACCACTCTAACACTCTGACCAGCATTCATGTCAAAAACCTCTATGGACTTGTTAGATCCAGCACATAAAACAATATCTGTTTATTTATGAGTTAAGGTAAAAACTCCCACTATGATAAGATAATGGATATACGCGAGTTTATTACTGAGAAATGCACTTAAGCATTTACACTGTTTGTTAAAATCTACTTTAAAGAACAATAATATCATAACTGTCTGGTTAAAGGACACATGAGTAAAATCCATTGACAGCAGACATAGCTGTTATCTTCTGTGCTTGGTCAAGCTGAAAACTCTTCACTAGTTTGTACCGACTGTTACTTATATACCTGAATGTGAAAAAAAACATAAAGGTCCAAATATGACAATTAAGGATGTAAGTAAGAATTGAAATAACTTTGCTGCCATTTTTCATACATGCAAAAAGAAAAAAAAAAATAGAAAAAAAACTATCAAAAAGAATGAATATTTTTACAAAAATAAAAGATAAAGACACTTTTTAGACAAATTTTAAAAAAATAAATTTAGACATTTTCAGGCTTCAAAGAATTTTAACATACAAGAACTATATCAAAATTGATAAATGCTCAAGTAGTGTGACAGCTGTATATTCTACTCAGTGGATGTCTCACCTCTTAATGTCTTGTTTACTTGAATCAAGGAAGTATTTGTACAGGTAAAAGGTACTGCCTGCAGTCAATAAGACAAACTTGTCCATATAATAAAACTGAGCAAGTGAAATCTCTTTTGGAAATAAAGGATTGTCCTGAAAAAGAACGAGAAAATATTTCTGCAATATATTCACTGCCTTTTCAATATTATATTTCCAAAAGTTAATTACAGTAAGACTTAGAATTCCACCAATGTCTTCACCAAACTGTGTTGTCCAAACCGTCTTACTTTACTTCATTTCTATCAAATAGCAATAACCATACAATCAAGAAAAAAAAACAATAGAAATTGATATATTCAGCATTTCTCTCACTTTTGATGGTTTGAGCCCCCCTTCCTTGTCCACCCCAAAATTGTCTGTAAGTGTGGAAAAGGTCAGAATAGGTTCAGCCTGACCTTTGACCCATACAGACGCCGTCTTGTCATCTGATGCTGAAATCAGGTACTTGTTGTCATGATTCCACCAGACAGAGTTGACAACCCCATTATGACCTAGATGCAATTGATTTTAATTTAAACATGTTATTTATCATATTATTTGAATGTGCTATTGATGTATTCTGTATAGAAAACATGTATTGTGCATGTAGATCTGACAAACTGACAGTGTACTTGGGGTACCATGTAGAGATCATTAAACTACTGTCACTATTATTGTTTTAAACTAAGACAATTTTATACAAATGTCTAGAAATGTCTTATAACTATTAGAATTACTTCATTTTAATCTCTTTGCTTATAGATGTTTGTCATTAGATGTACTCTTTCCAAAGTATAGCAGAATTTGATTTGGGACACACATTAATGATCATAATAATAACAATCATCAGTGTATGGACTATGAGTACACTGATCTTTTAAAATTGCATCAGCATTAGCTCTGACACCTGAGAATGCACCTGGGAAGTATACCTGTGAATGCTGTTCCACTGCCTGATAAAGGCATCTTGAACAGGTGAGCAGACTTGTTTGCCAAGGCACAGGCAACGTATTGACCATCTCCTGTAAATGAAGGTAATTACATGAGGGCCACAATGCAAAGATAACATGTTTAACGAGAAGCCAATTGTTACAAACAAAAATTCAAATTAACTTTTACTTAAAATATTATCTACATTTATTTCTAAAGGTGCAATCAATAGGCTGAATGTTTAAAACTCACTGAAATACATATATTTTGTACTACATAACATACAAAAAATATAATGATTTTCTCAACTCTCATGCAAATCTTGCTCAAAAAGGTATCACTAAGTAATGGGCAAATATAACAACCAACACGATGCAATCAATTATCTAAAATAGTGTGATTTACAAACTTCTTAGTTCAGACACAGATTCTAATACCTGTTCTGCCAACACCATATCCTAGCAGTCTGACTTTCAAAAATTCTTGTGAACTAACTCCTAACATCACCATGCCCCCGCCATTGATTGGATACAAGGTGATAATTGGGGATAGTTTCCAGTTATCTCTTAACCTCTGTTTATTTCCTTGGGACATATGTATACTTACCTGAAAATTTAACACACTGAATGGGTACAGGTTTTTCTTCCACGTCCAGTTTAACATGCAGGTGGGTTGGAGGGGCACTGGTGACAGGATATTCCTTCTCAAGCTTCCTAAATTATATAATGTAGATGCGTACAGGTTATACAACATGTGGTTTTATGAAAGTGCGTATTTCAAAACTGAAAGCCACCGAGTATATGATTTCAAGATTAAAATTCCACTCAACACATTTCAGTCAAGTTAGTTTTAATATGGATAATAAGATTTTCAAACATGTTTAATTTCACATGATCTAACCCAACATATGTTGTTAAATTTTTTAGAAAAAGAAAGGTTGGCCATATTTTTCTTCATATACTTACTTTAAACCTGAGGATTTCCCTGTCTTTGGTGATGAGGTGGCCTTTGAACTGCCAGTTTTAGGTTGAAACATGGTCCTCCTGAAATAAAAATACACACATAACAACTGTAATTTCTAATCAATATTATGCAACTCAAAACACATGAAAAATATGCAATGTTTCATTATTTCCTATGATTTGTTTTTTGTTTCAAGTAAAGAAAGAAATACAAGGTTCTATGGCAACATAGTTCTTTGACCAGAAAAAAACAAAACAAAACAAAACAAACCTAGGTGCCTCTGTGTATCCCGATGATTTGACCTTGTTCTTAAATGTTAATGGCTGATTGTCCAACACAGAACTCTTCTTACTTGGCAGCAATACACCTGAAATCAAAACAGCATTCGATTAGAGTATAAAACGTGATACTGTAATAATTACTTAAGTCTTTCCCAAACAAATCTTTCTTTTCTTTGATATAATTTTTTGTAAAAAATTACTTACATAATTTTTTCTGCTTTCTGAATACATCAAAGGATTCATTACAAGATCATTTATGTGTTCATCAAAATCCCATTCACATGAATTTCTTACCTTTTTTTACACTTGGACTTCCTTTACTTTCTTTGGATTTTGGCACTAATTCTGCTCTCAGCAATGAGTTTGGAAGCAGTGGCACACTGAAAGTGACACAATCTATTAAAAACTGTCACCTATCAAAACTCAAAAGTTAAAATTCAAAGTTGAAGGAAATTTCTGACAAAATCTATCTATCTCAGTATATATCCACTGCAACAGCAAATAATAGTCTAAAGACCTACACCTACAAATACCAGGGTACACCTGTGAGAGAGATTCAATGCATATAGATACTACTTTCTACAAATATCCCAATATTATAATAATCATGGCTATTTAGCCGTAGTAAACTTCATTGTGATCAAGATAAACTGTAACACTGACTTGCCATAATAAAAAAAATAAATTATATTTCTTTTTGGATAAATATTTGAATCTTTATAAAAAATCGAAACAGCCTTATTCCAAAAAAACTCTGTGATGATGCCATACTTACTCAGACAGCACAGTAATATCTCCTTGAGCATTGTCTTCTTCCTTAGTTACGTCTGGACCCTGAGTGGACAGTCCAGCAATACCACCGGTCAACTGGTCAAGTGATTGCTGCTGGTCAACAGGCTGTGAATGACTGACTAGTAACACCTGGGCTATATTTTCAAACAGACTGCCCACCACACACCAGGTCTGAAATACAAAATAAATAAATATATAAATAAGAGAGGTTTACTTTCCTTAATAAAATTTAATATAGGAAATTAATTGGGTTTTTGCTCAGATGTATCTAAAATATTACGTTAATACTCAAGTAAACATATTTCTAAATGAAATGCAACTTACATAATTTCACTTATAAAACTAAAATGTTCAATATAATACTAATGCAAACATATCAATGAAATGCAACTTAATTTCACTTATAAGACTAGAATGCTCAACACCCAATATCAATAGCAATATAATAACTGACTATACATGTAATTCAAATTGTTAAATTTTGCCTTAACTTGGACCAATTAAACACTATATTATGCAAAATATATAATGGATCCAAGGTCTTAAAGTCAGTTATATTTCCCCAGCTCAAGCCTTGCCTTGGTTAAATCTGTTGTGGAGGAAAAGGCACATGATCCTGCTACAGAAATACTGGATTCCATGTTGGGTTCACAGTTAAGAGGGCCTGGAACAGATCATAATAATAATAATGGTTTATTTAACAGGATATTCCATTATAAATATGCCTCATGATAAAATATGTTTTTATCTACTATTAATTTGACTTCTAAAAATCAATTTTGATTTCACAACCTCACTATTAATTCAAACAACATTTTGTATCTCTTAAATTGTTTCTTAAATGTTATCTGTGGAAATCAATTATCACAAAATATATATAAAAGTTTAAAAAAAATGGAATATAAATTCAAAATTAACTTTCTCAAAAGCAAAATCTTTTGGCTCACAAACTCTATGAAACATACTTTGCAAATTAAAATATAAATCTTGTTCTAATGTCTTAGCATTGACTTGTACCACTGCCCCAGTGGTTCCTATGGTGAGCAAAGGGGCTGCAGTTAAAAGGTCCCTAAAATAAAAGAATGAAGAAAAACATGTATACTAGTACGTCAAAATAAAATTTGTCATTGTATCTTATGAACTAAATATCATTTATAAAATATACATATATGCAATCTAGGGTTGAAGGTGGATTTGTGGGTTTCAATTAAAGTATAATTTCAAACTGACATGCAATCGTTCTCTAAGAAATGGATGTTTTGATATCATGAAAAGTTTGGATATTTCTGACATGTACAAACTGCAAAACTTGTTAGGATTCAGTTTATACAATAACAGTACTATTTTACATGTACCTGACTAGTGTTTCATCATGTTTCATAAAATGAAGTTTTGCTCCATTCTCTTGTGATTGAACAACTTGTTGATAGGAATAATGAAGACCAAGAATTGCACTCCCAACTTCTGACTCTTCAATGTCATCATCAGCAGATTGTTCCTGCTGTCCACCAGGTCTTTGTGACTGTTTCCATGATGGTTGACTGCTGATGGTCAATGGCTCTATGAGAATGAAGATAATTCCCTTGAAAATGCCTAAAGCAGCTGAATAATTTCATGTTCAATAATACTCTGTCATATTCATCTTACTGGATAGGCTTTGCTTTCATAGATTTTGTCTTTTGAAGACAATTTATATATCAAATTTATCCAAAAGATACAAATTGTTCCTTTAAGACAACTGTTAAAATAACAGGGAACATAACAAACCTTCCTCCTCTGTTACTTTGTGTCTCAATGTCTTCTGTTTCTGAATAATTTTCTCAACATCTAGTTGATGTAGACAGCGGAATCCATTGCCATCACTGAGGTCATAGACCCTCACCTGGGGACATTTTAAATCAACTTATTTTTATACTACATCAAGAAACCATGTAGTGCATACAACTCAAGCATACAGTACATGTACAAATTAATTCCTTTCTGAGTTATTTGACTTTATGAACAATAATTTATCCAGATGGGATCTGTAAGTCTGAGTTTCAGTTGGGTATCTCTCTGTATGTGGTTGGTTTTTTTACATAGGCAGTAGATTTATTTTGTCATGTGGCCCAGAGTGTTTCAGTCCATTAACTCTGTACAGCACATACTCACCTGTCCATCAGCTGTTCCAATGGCAAACTGCTCTTCACTTGGATTCATGGCTAGGCAAAGAAATGGCGAAGATGAAATGATGGTGGACTGGTATATCAACGACCCCTGCTTGATGTTCCAAACCTGAGATAAATTATAATAAAACATGCACATTTCTTATAGTATCATGCCCCAAACATGAAACAGAAAATCCCATGGGAAATATTATGGGTGAAATGTTTTAATTTTGTACAGGTACATGTAGTTTTTTAAATCATTTCAGAAAACAAATTTAGATCTGGAAAAAGGCTTGACTTTATTTTCTTTTTTTTTTAATTTTTGTTACAAAAAAGAAGTTACAACAAGCTTTGCTAAGTAAGCACTTTCCTCATCAAATTAACTTAAGGATTTTGATGTAAGAAGCACATTGATTAATTAATATCAATATTTACATATATATGATTTCAAAACTCACCTTGAAAGTCCTGTCCTCAGCGGCAGTGACTAGAGTAGAAGAATAGTGTGGACAGAACTCTGCACATGTAACTCTGGCATCATGACCCTCTAATGTGACACACAATTTTTCCTCCTGTGAGAAAAGGGCAAAACTTTTCAATGAGTAAGTCATCAAATTGTCCAAAGAATTTTTTTTTCATGTAAATGTTCAAGTGAACGCCTAATTTCTATTGCATAATTCGGATACATTAAGTCCATTAAATAAAAAAAAAGATTACTGTGTTAAATATTTTATTTTCTATAATAAACATAAATTTGTTAAAATTTTGTATTAGACTCCTACATGTGTAGCTGTTATGTCTTGAGCTCTGTTGATCTGTGTAACAGGTAAATTAAGGGAGCACACAAGATTGTCTTACCAGAGAGGAGAGTATTAACACATCAAGATCTCTGCACACAGCCACCTGGCTTTCATCTGGACTGAAGCAGCAGTAACTGATAAATCCAAGCGTTGTGCCAATGATTTGGCCTCTGATTTGTTGACCTAAAATTATAGGAAAATGAGTGGCTAAAAACAGGTAAAAAAACATGAATATTTACAAAATCTTCTCAATATAAACATCTTAATTCAGAAAATCATGTTTTCCCTTTGCATTTATTTTTAAATTTTAAGTACGATTCATTTAAAGATGGCAAAATATTCAGTTTTTATTTTTTTATTATTTTTAAGGCTGGGGGGGGGGGGGGGGGAGCTCACCAGTGTCTTTCATAATTTTTGCCTTCTCCAAGTCCCACACTATAATATAGTCCTCAGCAGCTGTACACAGTTTGGTAGGGAAATGACTAGGTCCAAAACACATTGCAGATGCTTTGTGCCTATGACCTTCAAGTTCCAAAGGCTATAAAAAAGAAAGAAAAGCTGCATCGGTACTATTGCAAATAACTTATAGATTGCCAAACATTTAAAATGTTATATATTGAATGATTTACAAAACAAAAAGGTATTTTATAATTCACATTTTTTTACATATTCAGTCATACCAGGATACTATTTGAGATTGAGATTTTTTAAACATAAATTATATATTAGATTGCTAGAACACCATTGATTGAGTTTTTTTTTTACATTAATTATACTTATTACATCACTAGTACAATTATGCTACTGGTAGTTAGACAATAAAACCTACCTTGCAGAATAATTTGTCCAAACTCCACACTCCAATGGAAGTCCTTACAAACGGCAGTGCCAGGTAGACACCATTGCAAGCTATTTGTATGTGTGACAATGGGAATGGCACACGCATGGTGTGCTGGCAGGTCACAGACATGGTTCCCTTGTTTTTTATTGGATTTTTTTCATATTCATAAACTGGAAAAATTACGATACAAAGTTGATCCTGTACTTATGCATTACACCCCCAAATTTGAATATGCAAGATTTTTACTTCTAGTGTAAAAACATAACCCTGTGCTTCAGAGATAACTTGAAACAAACCTTTACACTATAAGTCTATTAAATAGCATATATACTGAGTACCCTTGCCGTTTCAAGTTACAGTACTTGAAACGGAGTGGCAGTGGGAATGGCACACGCAAGTTATCTCTGAAGCTCAGGGTGAAAGACACCGGAAAGGAAATCATGACGTATATAGTACAAATTTAAAAACATAAAATCATGAATGGGAGAGCTGACGCATGGGTTTTTGTGCTACTACTACACTGTAGTAAGGGCCATGTACCGATACAACGGTAGAGGGGACCGATATGTTGATCCAATTTGGACCGAATTCTGCTTCACCAGGGATGCAGTAAATTGGCACATTTTGCAAGCAGATCATCGCCAGTGTATGTGCAACCTTTCTTTTAATATTAATATTTTTAATATATTTTCCAAAAACGTGTATAAAATAACAGTAGCGCTAATTCGACTGAGAGGAAATCTGGGATTTAAAAGTGTCGCAGCCATGAATATGCTACTGAAGAAAGACACGCTTACGAGTGTACGGAGCAGTAAAATGGCAAATCTGGTACAACTATTACTACAGAAACATAAGATGTCTACGTTTACTTAAAAGTCAGTAGAATCCACGCTGACTAAAACACGTGAGACAGAAATGAAATAAAATTGTTTACCTTAGACACCAGTCGTCCATCTCGCGCGGCTTGAACAAAAAACCAATAGGTGGCAGCACGATTCAACAGAAGCACCACCACTAAGTTTTATCAGTTCTGTCATATTTAAAAAAAAACAAACAAACAAAGCCAGCCACTTTTATCACAACATTTACTTTTTTTCTTAATTACTATTTACATACAATGATACCTGCTAGAGATTCAAGTGACAAAATGAACAATAAATAATTTTAATTAAGTTAAAACACAATACATTGTAAAAGTGTCTAAAAATTCTAACATATTTGTATATTGTAGATATGTCTCTCCTACTTAGAAAGTATGACAGAAAATAAAAGAGAAATACCATTACAGGAATAAAGCTCCATAGCAAAAACATATCCATTCTTAAATACTATTACAAAACTTTTCAAGTTGTATACAGATTTTGTCTAAAGAAGCGACCATATTCTAAATTAGTTTTCTCAACGCATATGACTAACCCCAATAGAAGAATCAAGCTCACAGATATACATGGAAGTTCTCTTTTTCATAATATCACTATTTTCAAAGATAGCACCACTAGAAATTAAGTTACGAAATAATATTTGTTAAATGCCTACCAGAAGTGCGCCTACTGGTGAAAGACACCAACTGGAAGTGCTTGTAAGACAATAGTCAAACAATGCCTAACACTAGATATGAAAAATATTGCACAAACCACCATTTATTTAACATAAAAAAGCAATATAATTTGATGAAACATGCACTAAACATACTACATGCATGTATAAAATAAGAGTATATAAATATATATCCTAGCTACAGAATTCAGCAAACAAAGACCATGTACTGGTAGTGAAGATGAAAATAAATTCAACTACAATGTAAGAGTATTATTCAATGACATTTTCAGCAAAAAAATCATGTGTCCCTTTAAACTAAAAATAAAGACTTACCATTAAAACAAAAATAACAGTAAAAATGTACCCTTTCTAAGCATCAGAGATAATATAATAATTAAGTAAAACTAGGTCCATTAATAACTCGATAACACAACATGCAACGAAACACATAAACTAGCCAAAAAAGCAGACCATGACGATACTGTACATCAGTTCGCCAACTTGATTTGAAGGCATTTTACTCAAACACCTGCAGAAACATCAGTATAAACAGAAAGACAAGACAGCTCACATGTAAGTTGCAAATGACACTTCATTACCTAGTCCAGAGTTTCATTTTTTTAAAACATCAATCACATAGTGAGCAGAGTAGAAAGGAATACAGCACCAAAGTCCCATTTCATAAATTTTCAATAAATTAGTCAAGTTTTTGTTTATTTTGACTAGGAAAAATCAGCTATAGTCCACTCAGAGAAAGCTACTATCTGTTCAAAGTATTACAAATTTCTTACTTTTTGTGGAACAGACCAAGTATTCCTATACAAATGACTATTACAAATTCATCCTGCATCAAAGTAGACATGATATTGGATAAGTTGAGAAAAACTTAAGACTTAAGACTTAAGTTCTAATGTGAAATCTGCCCTAGTCAGGTCAGTTAATGATGACAATTACAGATAAACTAATAAGAAAAGGAGAAATTGGAGTAAAGAGTCTGTTCCCAGCAGTTTAACCTGAATCATTTGTCTTATCCAATATGGCATTAGTCTCCTAAATAGCAGACCATAACTGTCTTTCAAATCAACCCAATTTTATTTTCAGGTTTCAGTCACTGAAGCTAAATACAAACACAGAGAGGAAGTCTACACAGCATAAAACTGGGTAGCAGAGGAGGACTGGATCTCTGTCTGTCCCAGTTTGAACTGTAGGCGTTTCAGCCATGTAAGCAACATGCTGGATTTCTGAGCAGCTTCATCCTTGGTTTTCTTTGGTGGCGCCCAGTTCTGACAGGTCTGAAGGCGGACTTGGATATGACCAGGCAGCTAAAGTAAAATTATATCAGGTTGATGAAAATTATCTCAAATTAAAGACTTTTAAAAATTTTGTTTTCTACTACTTCACGGTAGAACCTCTGGCATTAATTTTCCTACTGGTATCTACTTAATACAATGGTATACTTACAAATAAATAAATAACAGAATTGTCATTATCTATGAAATGCAAACAATGTTTCAGGCATTCCCCTATGGCACTATCAGATGATTAAAAACAAAAAATTTCTATACCTGTCCATGGTAAGAGTGGAAAATTGGAGTCCACAATGCAAATAACTGAAAAACAAACAAAAGTTTGATGAGTTTAATATGCTTAATTTCCTTCTGATACAATACATGCTGAATATTGTAAAGCAAACCCATCTTATAAATTCAAACAGAAAATTAAAGGTTAAGAATCTACTGATTATTTTTCTATTATTTCTTTTTTCATAATTCATCAACTCCCTACCTTTGAGAGAACAGAGGAGTTGCATTCCTGGAGAGCTTCCATCATAGACAAAAAGTGAAGATTCACCATCTCAGCCATCTAGTTGAAAATAAGTTTACAAGTTTAAGCATTATTCAGTATAGATATATGTACATGAAGGCTATACCAATAACAATTTATCCACACTAGATAATTTTGCTCAATAATCTTGTGAATTTAAAAGCAAACTACTTGATATGGGAATCAACTGCATAAGACAAGTGTATACCTCAGTAGAATCTTCATCAAACAAAACAGTAAGCTGAGCTGCTATTAAAAATTCTCTTCCAATCTATTTATCATACAGGCAGGTGCAGACCCCCACCTATAATCTCACTTTGTTTCTAAAAAAAATAAACAATCAGCCCTATTCCTCCCTAGAAGTGAGGAAAATGCTCAAAGGTCCAAAGCAGCCCCAAAAATATACTTTTAAGTATTTCCTCATTTTTTCAAAACACCCTTCCCTTCTTGACACCAGTAATTTATATCAGTTATTTATAAGAAACTCATAAATCTGTACAATTACTGTTGTAAATTTACCATTCTAGAATGTGACAGTAACTGTAGTATGCCTGGAGTGACCCTGCCCCAGAAGTCCATCACTGTCTCTGAGGCCATTTCATGGGTGTCACTGCCAAATGTATGGTGCCAGGCTAGACTCTCACAGTACATGGTCCACAGCTGGAGAGAAATAGTGGGGGGATTTAGTGAACAACTGGGACACCTCCCTTTTGCCCCACTGTATCCAACCCTAAGCTTCAACTCCCATAACAATTAATAACAGAAGAGATTTCTGACACAGCAAATGTTTTTATAAACATTGGTAAATACACTTATAATTCTGACTCGTAAAATGATGAGAATACAAACTATAGCTTAAGCGTTCTGCAGTTCCTTTAAAGATGTTTTGCTTAAATCAAAATAAAACAAAACAAAACAAAAAAACACTCATTTTCAACTTACTTGACATAAGATGAAGGCATGGAACAAGGAACTCATGTGTAATACTGAGGCCTAGAAAAAATAATCTTTTTAATAACAAACATGACCTCTTCATAGTTACATAAATATTTATATGCTAATAAGAGAAACAAACTGTCAAATATAATGTAATTAGATGTCAATATATTATTATTATTATTATTATTATTATTATTATTATTATTATTATTATTATTATTATTATTGGACACCTGCCTTGGACTGTTCAGCAAACCCAGTCATGATAACCAGGATGTGGTCAGCAATGTACTGACTGGCCTCCAGTGGGATAGGTTGACATATAATGGGCCCTGAACACTGGGTAATGGCAGTGTGGGTTAGAGAGCCCAGCAGGAGCCAGGACAGCAGGCGAATGTGGGTGATACAGTCAATGAACTCCTTGGGTCTGCAATGCAATGGCAAATTATATTTCAGACATCTTAATGATGTTTCTTCAAGATGTGAGGCATAACAGAACATTTTTAAGGTTTTCAGTATTTTAAGGTTATCAATTATCAAAGTAAGTTGACAACACTTCCAAAAATGCATGTATCTATTGTCCCTGTAGCCCACTTTTAAGGTCTTGGTGGCCAATGAGTGAACAAATTTGGTTGTGGGGCTACTGTTAACTCTGAAAATGTGTAGAGTCTGGATAAATGTGTAGAGATGGCTACTCTAGAATCTTTATTTCAGTTCCATACCCTTGCTGCATAGCTGAAGGTGGGTGATACAGCCATGGCAGATAGCGATTGATTGCACGGTTGTCCCGACCATTGCCTCTTGTGAACTCCAGGGCTATGTACTGAGCTATCCCTGACTTGAGCTGGTTCCCCAGGGTGTCCTCATTCAAATTAAAGGAACTGCCTTTCATGTTGTTCTGAAAAATGCATATTATTTATTTTACCTTCACTATAGCTGCATCCCAAAAAGGTACTTAAGGCTATTTTTTTTTTTTCAATCTCATCAGCAAATCTTGATAATATTCACACATTCTGACATGTAATGATTTAATGAATAAAAACAATGATCACACAAATTAAACCCAAGACTGATTTGTAGTAAGTGCATGCATAATGAAATGGTATTAATGATACACAGGACGAGTGATGTGTGTATGCCTGTGTGTGCATGTGGTTGTTTGTGAGTAACAACTCTCAATCCTACCTTGACTTTGGTAAGTGTATGAAGGTCAGCAATAAAGTCCACACACTCATTGAGGTGCTGTTTCATACACTCACTGGCACTGGTGCTGACCACTGGGTGGGTCATTGGGTTAAAGGAGTAAGTACAGTACTCCTCTGTCACTGTCCCTGGAGTTATGGTACCCCCAGCATCAATACACACAAACTGGAAAGGATAGATAATTTTATAGTCAGGCTTGCCAAATAACATACACATTAAAACATCTATACATTAGTCAATCAATTCATCATCTAGCTGGTGTACATTCTAGCAACAGTTCCTTTTCTTTTTCTTTTTTTTTTTTTTCATTTTCTTTTTCAAAGATAGTATATGTCACGTTAAGCAACAAATCCATGGATCATTGGGAAATGAAACGATAGAAAATTTGCCTATCATCCTAAATATATTTAATATATCCTTGTTATCTTGAAAGAAACTTCCACAGTCAACATCCCCAAACACAATATCAACATGAGTGGTAAATGACATACAAGCCAAACTATCAACTACATTTTTTACAATAAATTGAACTTTCTCTGAAATATGACACTAAAATTATGTTCACAGTTTTCGCATTAACTCCATAGATAGTTTCACCCTGGTAACATTAAGTGTGACCTGACAATTTTGTGCAGGTGATACCTAAAATTTTGTAAGAGTATTGAAACATTCTCTCTCTCTCTCTCTTTATATACAAAGTGCCTCACCTGCACCAGAAGTAATAGATTGCTATCTGGGACTGATGCTCTGAACTTCAATGCTTGCACCAACTCAAACACAATAGTCCTAGCCAAGAACACCTTGTCTCTTTCCTGTTATACAAAACATCACTTGATATTGTAATCATATATAAATTTTAAGAAAAGAAAAATAAAAAATGAGCCATTACATTTACTGAGTAATCACTTGGAATTTAATATGATATTTTCAAGGTCAAGTAGTAACTTCAAGTACATTGTAACTACCTTGATGAAGACTCTGTTAGCCAGGGAGCATATATCTATCAGGTGTTGTAGTAACAGTTCACAATTCTGGATGGCAAAACTCAGTACTTTGGAGAAAGGCTCCAAGATACCCTGCAGGGAAAAGGGCAATATGGAACTATATAAATACAACATATTTTAATCACATGTTCAAAACAATATCACAGCACTTGTCACAATGACAAATGTTAATCAAACTAAAGGTTAAAACTTCTTGCTATTTAACTGCTGAAGTCTAATCTTTTCTTTGCTGTCATTTCATTATGTGATTACCCATCCAACTTATCATAATCAAGTTGCTACATACAAAACTTTGGACATAAAATTCAAATCTCACCTTGCACCCACACAAACACTTTAATTTCTCTTTTGACTAAGATCTAGTTTCAGTACCTTATTAGAGGCCACACCAGGAATTTTCAACACAGAGGCCATAATCTTCATCACAGGAGCAATGTCACAGCCTACAGGCAGCTCTGGCAACAGCTTCCTGAAGTACCCCTCAAACTGGCCTAAAATCCCTGGCCAGGTGGGCGAGGTGGTCTCCAGGGGTATGCACTCCATGTAGCTGGACAGGTTATTCAGAACCTGCATTAAGGTGTCTTGTGGGAGGGTCTTCTTGTTGTTCATTCCCTGACAAAAACATAATTTATTTATTTATTCAGTGTGGAGGTGAAGCATAAAAATCGTGTGAATATATATCAAGAATAGTCTGTATCTACTGATGAAAAGATATATAGTCCTAATCCCATTCTTATGAAGTTTACCTTACTGGAGGGCAAAGTGCATGACAACATGAAAATCACTGTTCTAAACTGTTATGAACATGTACAATTATAATCACACATAAGCCTACAGATCCAATAACCATAAAATGTTCACTGTCACAAACTGGTTTAAAGCCCTATTAATAAAGAATTAGATCAGTAGATGTTCCATATATATTCATACCTCTAATAAGTGCTGAAGAGCAGCATAGCAGTTAAGTTCATTGAAGTCCATGAGAGCAGAGGCCAATGTCTTCATAAAGTCTGGCTCTGGAAATTAAGTCATAAAGACATATAATAACCCATTATAAAAACAACATTTGTGAATGATGTATGAATAAATATGTTGAATATATTTTTTTAAAAACATGATGTCTTAAATGTCCCTTTCACAAATTTTGAAACAAAAAATAATGGGTGAATTCTTTTATCCACATGATATAGTTTTTCATTGAAACAAATCCAAAATTGATAAAACACACAGAACACAATTGATGAGTTGATAATTATAAAACAGTCACAAGGTATTTAACAAAAAAGTCAAGTTGTTTGCTAACCTTCAATTTTGCTTTGAAACAGTTGTGGAAAGATCCCATTAGGTGCCAGCTGGTGGAGAACACAGCGCAGAAACTGGCGCGCCACACTCACAGAACTGCCTGGAATCACCACTTTCCTACAATTATAAGAAAAGAACTTTGAAAAAAAAACCAATGCCATCAATTAGGTTATCTTAAAAAATGTGGTGATTGCTTGTCTATTTCATTGCAAACCTAACATCAAATACTTCTTTCTCACTCTCTCTCTCAAAATGAATAAGAAGTACATACCAGTCATTTTGCCAAGGATAAGGGCTGTTGGCAGCAATTCTGAAAAGTACAAAATATGGCATACTCAGTTCCTCCAAGCCAATAAAACCGAAACCCTTCTGCCATTCTTACACAGAGTCTAGCTAATATTCCCTTATAATACATACTGATCCAATTTTTTTTTTGCTGTAATGTAAATCAATTTTGTTAACAGCATATTTGTTGATAGGATTAAAATCTTTAAATTGTCATTCATTTGGAAAGGTTCAAAATTTTCCCAGAAATCAACTTCTGTCTAGACATCTCCTTCCAGAACTCCCACATTCCACTTCCCTCTAGTTCCTTACCTAGTGACAGCCTGCAGCATGTCTAGTAGGTACGGAGCAGACATGGAGGGCTCTCTGTGGACAAATGCCTCCATACACACAATACACAGGCTGATGGTGTCCTCATCATACTGCTCCAGGACAGCCTTGCACTCTGGACAGCGGTCAATGATTGGCTGCTCACCGCTTCCAAACCTGGACTGCTGGCTCTTCTGTTTGAGTTGCTGACTTTTGGATATGATGTCTGCTTTTCTTCTTCTTCTGCACACACACGAAATTATAATAGTTATTATTTATTTTGATTAAAAGCTCATAAATGTATCAAAAAGAAAGCAATCACTCATCTTCTGCACACACACAAAAATATTTTTTTTATTAAAACATCAAATATAAATGTATTATATACAAATCTATCACAAATATCGTTAAGATTTTTGACTTGACTGAAATGATCTAACTATTGAGCTCTGAAATTTTTCATCCTTAATTGAGCTAACAAAAAATGTCAAAGATTACAAAACAGCCTCATTCTTCTACCTCAACTTCTCTGGTTCATGTTTCTCTGCCAGTTCTGGCATAATCTTCTGCAGTTCTATGGTGGCCAGTCCAGTCTTTCTCCCTCTTCTTTGGCGGTAATGGGGTGTCTGGCTTGGAGTGACCATGGCATCTGTTGATATGTCAGGAACTAGAACAGAATATCAGGGTTTGACACTATGATAAAATTCAAAAATACACATTAGCAGTTACAGAGAAATATCTCAAAATCATTCTAATAACACACATTTACTTTGTATTAGTATGTTACATTCAATGTAATTTAAACATACAAATAAAAATAATGCTATTCTGATTTTATAGTCAATCATGTTGAGAGAAAAGGTAAAATCAATGATTCACCGAGAGAAAAAATTAAACAGAGACAATAATGTTGAAAATGTTTATCAGTATAATTGTAAATCGAATTCTTTTTTCTCCATGCTTTCTTACCTTTTACTTCTACAGATTCAGTCTTGGTCACTTCTGGTTCAACAGTCACCTTTGCCTGTTCTTCAACTTTTTTACCCTCTTCTACTTCCTCCTTTAACTGTGGTGCCACATTATCACCACCACCTGCAGCATCGTCTTGTTCCTTCTCTTCATCCTTATCAGCTTGTTCTTTAGGCGTCTCCTCTTGACCCACCTCTATGTTTGGTACAGTGGCTTGAAAGGAGTCTTCCACAGTGACTTCAAATTTTGGAAGAGGCAGTATCACACTTTCCTCTATGGTCACAGCAGTGACTTCAAACACTGGGTGGGCAGGTTCCACAGTCTCCTCTGCCTTGGCTTTGAATGCTGGCAGAGTGGGTTTGAGGGGGACTGCCTGGGCAGACTCAAATGCTGGAACAACTGGCTTTGTGATCTCTTCATGTGTAATTTCTAATGTTGGTATAACTGGCTTGTCTGGTTTGATGAGGCTACTGTAAAAAGAAAATGACACCTCAGTGGCATGTCTTTTATTCAAAGTTCCAACATCTGAATGAGAGAAGACCTGTTTTTATAAAGATGAAGCTACCTCTAATTATGATAATTTAAATTGCAAATATAATAATATCAACTGATTAACTTTTCCATTATGTGTTTTAATAAATATCCTCTTCGATCTTGTTGTTCCAAAACAATTCCTCCAACAAAAAAAGGCTTTCTTGTAAGTAAATTTGTCAAATTATGTCCCAAATCTTTTTCACATCTACAGTTTATATGTGATGAAATACTCAGTTTACCTGGGTCTGCCATCTGGTCCTGCACCCTTGATGTTGTCCTTCTTATCAATCTCCACAGAGACAGCAGGTTTGTCCTCGCTCTTTGACCTAGTAGCCAGTCCCAGGAGTTCTACGGGTATAGGGGGCTTGTGGCGGACAGGCTTGGCTAGGGGTTTTCCTTCAGGTTTATCAACAACAGCCTCTTCTTTAACACCAGCTCCTGCTGGGGGGACATCTGGCTCTGCTGGGTGAATTTCGGGGGATTTCTCTCCTAAAAGGTTAAGAGCAGGAATGTAATTATGATCACTTCAACAAAGGGTTAAATGTACTTGTAAAACCTGTAGGCTGCAATATACAAAGAATACACATTCTTGGCAACAGATACCATAATGCCAAATTTACAATTGACTGTAGTCAGGTGGGGGCAGAAGGGCAGAAAAACAAGTCCAGTCTATCTGTGGGTATCTTGGATCTCAAAAAATCCAGTACCTTCAAACTCCTTGATCTGCTGAGCCATCTTTCTCTCCACATGAGATTCTGTCCCATAATGCAATGTTTTCTCCTCGACATCACTTCCTTCTGCTCCATCTTCATCCTGCTGAGCTGCCAGTCTTCTCTTCATCTCATCTTCCTTCACCTTCTGCATGATGTGCATCTCAAAACTCTGCTCTAGGGTCATCTATTTTAATCAAAAAGATAAAAAAGCACTCCAATACAAGCACCACTCACCATTTCTTTTAATATAATATTTTTTTTATATATAAATAATTCTACCAGTCTGAAATGTGCAAATATCTAACTGAGCTTTGTTTAAAAATACAATGAAGACAGCCTCGATCTTTCCACATGTACATTGAAAGATGCATTACAAGAGGTGCGCGAGTGCTTAAAATTCTTCTATTTTTACATTACTATTGTATGAACATTATAAAACAAATATTTTTTCTTTTAATTTGCAACAATCAATATTAAAAAACTTCAAACTACAAAACTGCAAACATATGTATTATTAATATCAAGGTCATGACCCACAAGCAGTTTAGTTCCAATTTGGAAAAAAAAAACAGAAACAGCATGCCAGTGTACAGAATGTAAATATTATAGTTCAAACGGTTTACTCTTTTCAAATGAAAAACAAACATAAAAACCTTTCAATATACAAAATGCAAATCAAACTAAAACAAATCTTCAGAAACCCTCTACATTTCTGCAATACTCAAACCCTTACATCTTCAAAGATATGGAGATTTGATAGCTACTTGTACACATAAAACTATATGTAACTGGACTAATAATACTTTTTAACTTATAATGCTGTCTCAAAAATTGATATTTATTATAAGATGATACAAGTAACTGTTAGTCTATCATAATTCATTAGTTTGAATAGGTTACTTTATTAGTTTTTTTTTTCTAAATTCCATAATGCAGACAAGACATTTGTTTATGTACATATACCATTCAAATAAACAGGATTCATCTGAGTTAAAAAGAAGCACAGTTTCATTTTTGCATTTCTTAAAGATTATAATATGCACATGATGGTATTAAAAGTATTGTCAGCAACTAAAGAAAATAGAAATTGAAAAACAATGATCATAATAATAATAAGATTTGCAATACTGATATTACTTAAAACAAAAATACTCCTTTTTAATCTTCTACTGATTTAAAGTTAAATGACCTCTTACAAAATAACACGAAATTATTAGAGTTTTAATTATGAATAAAATCTCATTTCATAATTTCCATTAATCCTGTAATTAGTGAAAAAAATCAACTAAAAGAGAAGGTTAAATCATGCAAACTAACTCCACAAACCTCATCCTCGTTATCATCATCATCGTTATCATCACCAGCAGCATAACCAGCATCAGTAGCATCTGCAACATGCAGTTCAAAACGGCGCCCCCCTACCCCTTTGTTTCCTGACTTTGGAGACTTAAGCAAAGAACTTGCTTTTGGAGCTGGAAACTTCTCAGTGTCTTTCTTTTCTTGTGTCTCATCTGTTGTAAAGCTGTAGTCTGGCAGTTTCTTCCCAGTCTGTAAAATATTTACCTCCAAAATAAGACAGTTTAAAGTAAGAAAGCAAGGAAGAAAATCACTCAAAAAAGAACAGGAATGCCTGTTGACCATTAATACAAACCATATTCTAACTTTCCCATTTAATGAAAATATGTTCAATCTCAAAATCTTTAACTAACAGGAACAAAGAAAATTTAAGACACAATCATCAATATCCTACTTTTTGCAAATTTGAATGATCAAACAAATACACACGTAGTAGCATGTTCTTCAGCAAAAAGACTTAGATACACACTATATCAATAACAAACTACTAATTCTATGAGAAGTCACATATAACTTCTCTCTTAATCATGTGACATACCACAGGTCCGTCACTGTCACTCTTTGGTGGTGTGTCTGGTGACTCCACTTCAGATGGGCTCTCCTCCAGAGGGGTGTTAATAGCCCCCCTCCTCCTGTGACCAAATGATATGGAGGCCATCCCCAGGGATGACTCCAGGGAGACTGTGGCCTCGGGGGAGGTTGGGCTCTGAGGAGGGGTATCAGTCTCCTCAATGTTCTCTAGTTCTACTGTAGAGACATTGCTGGCATCTGAAATTGCAATTCTTGAAATTAGTGACCTAATTGAACAAGAATGTCAAATGATAATTCTCATACAAAAACTTATAAAATTAAAAACTTGATTTTTTTTTTATTAATTTCCCAGCAAAAATTGAAGAAAACAAATTCAGTTTTTTTTTCATTATACACCACAAATAAAAAAACACATTACCACGAAAAAATTTTTAAGAAATAAAACCCACTTCTAGTCAAGAGAGGGCTCATCATGGCTCCCCCTTCCTCCCCAGTCTTACACCTGTGCTGCTGAGCATACACCGTGTTGATTGCAAGCTGCACCAGGAACTCTATGATCTCTGCATTAGGACTGCTCTTGTTGTAAGAGTACTGTGGAACAAAGAAATAAATGTCAATTAGTACTGCCGCATTGGGATTAATGTAATACAGTCAGTATACTATTTAAATTTATAAATCCTTTTCACCTTGATGATAATAACAATGAGAAGATCCATTAATCAATCACCAACTGCATTAATCACTAAATTATGATGATAGTTTCTTCATAACCATCAGCAGTGGACATCCATACATGGTTCAATGTGCAAACATCCTATCCTATTATAACCATACATATCTGTCATGTGTCTGGTATTCACAGTACTAACACATCTAGCTACCTTATACAATATAACCAGTAGAGCAGTGAGCCAAGCCTGCCTGGTATGGGGTTCTAGGTACCACAGAGTGTAGTTTGGGGGCTGGTAATCACTGGCATATCTCTGGGGAGAGGGAACATACTGCAGTAGTATCACAGCTACTGGCAGAATAGTGTTACCCAGCTCAAAGTTCCTGTCCAGGACCTGGTAAAAACAGAAAAATTATATTACAAGGATTATAAATTTATAATTTTTTTTCTAGTCACTTCAAACAGTTTCATTGTATACATTAGTACCAGTTTATTTCCGAGAGCTGTTAAGTCACATGAACACTATTAAATAATAATAATAAAATTAATAATAATAATAATAATAAATCTCAAATACCTAAAATACAAACGCATTGTCAGATATTATCTTTTTATCTATTATCTTAAGTTTGTTTTCAAAAGGAAACATTCTGTGCCTCAAATTTTCAAGGCAGTCAATCAGTTTTTCTTTGTATCATTCAAAATATTGTACAAAATCTAGAATCCACTTACATGAGGCAGACCTGCTAGGAAAGCATTTACTGTCGCTGAACATCTAAAATGTTTGGAAAAAACAGGGATAACAAGTTGAAATCAAATTCATGAAAGATGGGTGCAACATTGCAAATTTTGTAGATTCAGAACTGAAACAAAATTATCAAATTGAATATTTCTTAAAATTCTCGTGTTCAAGAGTCAAGAATGTCATTTACAACACTTAATTCTAGTCAAATACATGTATAGCTACAGAGTTGGCTCTTATAAGGTGACTGAAACAGAATGTTGAAATTCTCCTTAACCTTACCTTAGTTTATATGGTGGCACACTGAAAGCCTTCTCACTCTGGTTGTAGCCAAGAAGTACATTGAGATGTCGGAGAACAATGTCCTACAACCACAAGTGTATACAATTTCTCCTTTACCTCATAAACAACAAAAGGATCTACAGTACTAACATCAAAATTATTTTCTATTTGCAAAAACTGCCTTAAAAACAGAGAAAAGTTCAAAATCCTGTACTTATTTGAAAATACAAATATCATCATAAATATGCAATATTAAATTGATCAGAGTTACCTGGTATTTGCTCTCTTCTTTGTCACTGCTTACTATCTCTTGATCACTATTCATCATGAACTGAAATGTTTCATAATAAAATGTGTTAGATTACTAGGAAATATATATATCAGCCAGGTCTTACACAAGTAAAATTAAGCAATTTTCATAAAAGTAACACAACCATTGGGAAAGAAAGAAAATAATAACCCATTAGCATAATGCCTAAAGTTTCCAACCCTGTAAACAATGAGCTTAAACAACCATTTCCAATTTACCTTCATCAGGAGAGCAGTAACCTTATGAACCGTCTCCCTGTCCACCCCCTCCAGGTCCATTGCCTTCTGTAGCAGGGCAGAGAAATTACTCTGCTGGTCAGTGAACTCTCTAAGGTACCCACCAACCCCTAGATAAAGGGAAAATTGTGCCAATAACACCATTTCACGTTAGTGTTAAATAGATTATTTAATATTCATCACAAAGAAACAACATTGCCAAGAATTACAATTTTAAATGTTAATAATGATGCAATGTTATTTTTATTAATGTTTCTCTGGTCAAAATTCTTTTGTTAAATTTCATGTCAAGCATAGCCAAACTATACATGACCCCAGATCTGATGCACACCAACTTAACTATTTTCAAATCTNGCCACACCCAGACCCCAATACCGACAAAGCCCAAATTTTACGTGGAACGAGTTGAGATTATAGGTGACCTAAATCCATGAGATGGGTATGGGGGGCCTTACCGTCTAGGAGGAGAAGCGGTAACGGTAGCCGTCCGGCGGAGCCGGCGGAGCCGGCGGAGCCGGCGGAACGATCCGGACGAGACCGAAACCATGTGTACCGCCAGCGCTAACGCTGGTGGTACAATAAGTAAACATGTGGACATTTTAAAACTAAAAATGCTGGTTCAGATCACATCAGATCAGAAATTCAGGCCAACTGTTTTTACAAATAATTCTAACCAAATGCTCAATGGGCTTACACAGCATCTTACACTGAAAAGTAAAATGCAGTGCTGTGCAGTGGATTTTAATTAGTTAATTTGGTTAATTAGTTAGCCCAGATTAATATTCCATCATGCCAGTCAATTTAGTAAACGTAATTGCATTAACCGCCATAAATGATATTTCATGTTATTCAGAGAAAAAATTAGTAGGTAATCTAAATGCTCGAAAAAAATATGATATTAATTGATCAGACTAGATAAAATTAGACTAGATTAGATGTATCTCCCTATACTTAATTAATAATTTCAAAGTGACTACATTATTTATTTACTATGTCATCTAGTAGCATTAAAAGCAACTGTTTTGGTATCATGAGATCAGCATAAGTTACTATAGGTAAAGCAAACAATACCTGAGAGCATATAGCTTCCAAATATACTGAGCCCAGAGCGAGTTCCTCTACGGCCAAACTGGGGAGCCGACTGCTGCCTAATGCAGGGTTTCTCTACGTTAATGGAGAGGTGGGAAGACTGCTGTTAGTAATCCAGTGAATATATCTAATCAGTGATGTTCTCAGTGTATAGTACATAATTTTGTGGCAAACTTGAGTGAGAATTGTGTGATTAAAAGCAGAACATTCCTGGTTGTGATGGGTAAGTTTGCTCTTGAAGAGATAGAAGAAATATAAGCAAACAGAGTGCAAAGGTTCACAGGTTTTAAATAATCTTTCTACAAGAGAATCAAAATCAGAGAGCCATAAAGGTTTAGCCATTTTGTATGTATCATCAGCGCAGTGATGGCCATGCTGTCATAAAGTTACGGTACTGCATGGTTTTCCCTATAGTGATATAAGCATAATTACAAGCCTGTTTCACAGAAGACTTTTTTTCTGCCAAGTAGAAACAGCTATACAAAGTTAACTTTTTATATTGAGTCTTTCACAACTGAAAATTTAAGCAGGCTGATACGGACCCCATATTTAAATTTCATTTCTCCTGTGAAACAGGTCACAATACCACAAACAGAGACAGATCTAACAATAGGGGTGGAAGTCTGTCCATTAAAGATCAAATCACACAGGCATCTTGCATTATATTGTCTATCAGATGATCCAGATGATTGTTTACACCTGCCCCTGTTATGGTGATCATTTATAAGCCTGCCATAGCAAGTTGTTATTATAGAAATGCCTTCCTTGCTGGCATGCAACTTAAAATTATGACTAGCATACAATTATAGTGGTAATATATAGCATGGTATTGCGTCTTCCATGACAATAACAACAGGATAAAATCCCCAATGCTTGGCACTTGGTTTTATAATTGGTATACTGTTATAAGTGTTATGCCTTTATGGTACATGTTATATGACTGACATTGTTATAACTATGTTATATTCAAAATAACAATTTAAAAGCTTGGGAAGGAAGACTAGCATCTGGCTTCAAGTTAGCTTCTGTAAATTGGAACACACTAGGCTGGAATAAAAGCTTCTTAGTACTAAGTTCTTAAAAATACAATAACAAACCAACAGCTTTAAATTATAGTTGGTATGAAACAAAGTAACATTCTGTTAATGCAAAGTCTGACTTCTCGACAACTTATGAAAGATGGGGGGGGTTATGGGGGTTATGAAGCTCAAATCAATTTTTTTTTTTGCTTAACAATTCAAACAATACATACTTGAACATTAAACATTAGAAAATAAAGCCAAACTGCAAGAACTTTCTGATTTTAGAACAAAATGTAATGTAAAAAATGGTGAAATTATGTGAGTCCCAAATAATCAGTGTTTATAATAAGTGTGTGCTTGAACTGTACTGATGGCTTGCTAAACCTTGTGACAATATGTGAAATTATAAATAATATATACAATGGTTCTCAAAAATAAACTTAAGTGCTGAAAATAATTTTGCAAGTGAATAAATGGTGGAATGAAATGGTGACAGTTACTTAACAAAACCTTAAATTGTACAATTTGGACAGATCCTGTAATATCAGCAGAGACAGAGTAAGTTATGACATTGAAAGGACTGCCATATATACATCTATTTGAAATTATTTCAGAAGAAATGTTTATCTGAATTGAAAACTTCAAAAAAAGAGAAAATTTCAGGTTATCACATACATTTCAAAACCTTTAAAACAGCACAGTCACTATTAAATGATATCACAACTTGCTGTGTCTTACACTGCAATTCATTCTTAAAAGATGTGAAGACAGGATAGAGAAAACAAAGCCGCAGAGGTAGCACCCAAACCATCACTGCAATAAGAAGCCAAGGAGTTAGTCCATCACCACCGCAAGAGCAAGCAAGCACAAATATTCTTTTATATATTATGAGTGTAATCAAGCTTCCACGGCAAAGTAGCATTTTACCAGCCGATTGGTCTGGGTGGGACTCTGTGTGAGAGGGAGGAGTGGATTCTGCAGGTTGATGGTGAGACAGCCACCACCGCTGCATGTACATCAACACTTTCCACTTCGGGAGGACTGAAAACAACAAAAACCCAAAACCTCCACTCAGAAATACACATCAACATACATGTACATGTATGAACCATAACATCTATACACAACATGTCACTTTGACTCGTATATTTCAATGGTATTAGTTGTGCTATATGCATGTTATGATCGAGGATGGATCTGGGATTTAATACTACATACATATATTTATATTTGTTTTATATAGAGTGTGTGACTGCGGAGGGGTTTAATTCATTAAAGTTAAATTCAATTGAGGGTGAATTAAGCCCAGCAGGTTTGTTCACAACAAGCAAGTTTTCCTTGTGTACATGTTATGTAAGCAGCATGTTTTCCTTTTGTACATTTTATAAAGTATGAAAATTATAAAAATGATTTTAAAATTCCTGTAAAAGAAGGTCATTTCTCAGTCATAAATTTTTATAAAGACGCCGATTACATGTGACAAATGACACCAAAGTCCAATGCTGACAGTAGACACATAATAAGTAAAATTACTAGTAACTGCAAGACAACCTATACTATAAATTAAATTAAATTCTGAATCAGTTAAAGGTATCCTGATAATGTCCCCCGAGTCATACAGGTATTTTTCCCTTAAAAATGTTTAAACCCCTCAAATAAAAGTTTACCTGGAGTGTGTATGATGTCAATATTTCTTTGTGAACCTTAGAACCTCTCAGCGGCCAAGTCTGGGAATCTCACAATTTCACACAAGAAATAAATTTTAACAAGGCCCCCCCAAAAAAGAAATCTGTTGCCATTTTCTTCATTCTCTTATAATGAAATGAAATGAAAATAGATCATTCTAAACTGTGCAGTTCACGTCTTGTGAAATGTCAGAAAGATGAATAGATGTCTAAATGATTCCCGAGACATTTAAAAACTCCTTAAAAGAGGTACCAAAACATCCCCTCCAATTGCAGGTAGGGGTTAATTATGATCAGGGAGTAGGAGAACATTGCTTTTTTCTTTAGGAAAATTTAACAAAGAGAAAATCCCAGAGAGGATACCTTTAACTTTTCCTAGCTACCTACATTATAAATTTTTACAGATAAGTTGCTTAACTGCTTGCCATTCAACAAGTAATAAAGTTCCAATAGTCCATCAAGTACAAAAAGAACAAACTGCTTGGAACATGAAAAAGTGACTTTGCAAAAAAGGTTTAACATTGCATTAAACACCTCTCATAAGTGAAAAAAAACTTCACATATTTGTCACAGTTTGCTTTTCAGTTTCATTAATTAAACAGTGGCATGTAATGGGTCTTGGAAAAGTTAAAGCTTCTTGTTGTAAATATCTTACAATTTCAGTGGTAGCCGGCCGTTATCTTGACATTCAATGCAAAAATTGGAATAAGTACTGACATATTCTATCTCTCATATGATGTAACTGAACTAGCAACAAACTTTAAAATGGAAAAACAACTGAAATACTTGTCAAAGGTATTTTTTATCATTTCAAATATGTCCACATTCCAAGCAGATTGCTACATGTATGCAGAGGCACCCATAAAGATCCACACCCTCACATCATCCAGAGCAAATGAACACAGTGAAAGCAAAGTACCTTTAGGAGAGGCTGACATAGAAACAGAGGTTCCCCGATTAGAAGGAGACACACCTGGCCGGGGGGTTCCGTACAAAGGCATGGAGGATGCCTTCCTGAATGGCGGCTTGTTGCCATAGAGACTGGCACTGACAGATCTCACACTGTCGGTCCTGGCCAGCGCAAACCTGGCTCTGTTCAACTTCTGTAAGAAATGCTCACTTTCTCTGTCACTGCTCACCAGATCTACAATAAAGAAAACAATTCTTTTTACTAATAAATATGATAGCTATTTAATCTCAAGATGATTTCTTTTAAGACAATATGTCAAGACATTCCAAAAATACCCGAAAATAAGATGAATTTTCTAAATTTTCAGCCCTAAAAGAAATATTATTTTCTTCAGTTTATCTGTGCCCAGATATGCATGATAATATAAAATAATGTGACTCCAGACAGGGCACCTGTTGGGTGTGATATGTCCCCACTGCTCTCCAGATCAATCTGGGCCTCCAGAGAGAGAGCATCAAAGCGATGAAGGAAGAACTCCCAGCTCAGGATTCCCAGGTCAGGCAGCACATTGGACAAGATCTGCATTCTCTGCAGTATCATGGTGCGATCATTGATCACTGAGTCAAACTGGAACTCCAGGCACATACACAAACACTGAAATTAAAGAAAAACATTTAATAATCCTATTATGACTTTTTGCATCATTTAGCTTCAGCAATATAATGACAGAGTACCAGTTTGTTCCATTTTTATAAGAGGATACACATGTATACAAGGTATTAATAAATATAAAATTATATGAAAAGGATACACATATATTTAATCTTTATGCACTGCGTCATTAAAAATATTTGATTTATTAGGACTATATAATGTTTTTAGTACTCTTGAGCTGGTTTCTCTCTCTGTCTGGTTTGCATGTGTGCATGTGCACATGCACACACATGCATAATTTGTGGCCCTTCACCTTAATGGAGCTCTTCTTCTGTGTCTCCAGGTAAAACTTAGTTTTCTGTGCCACCATGCAGTTGATGTCATTCAGGGACTCAATCAGGTGACAGAAGGCATGGGCCAGGGTGGTCAACAGGACCTGGTTTTCCTTCACAGTCTCACACCGGACATAGCGTAGCAACACCGACACCTTTTCCACTGAATACAAAATAAGAGTAAAATTGGTCATTTGTGCAGGTTTGCTGATATCTACGAAATAACTCATCTCATACAACTGACATTACTGGGCAAGTAGTCTCTATACTCGATAAATCATATTTCTTGTCTCAAAAAATTTGGTAGGAAGATTCTGAATCAATAAATTGAAGAAATCCTACTGTATAATTTTATTTTCAGCCTCATATCCCGTGCATGGCAGCATGAAAATTTGAAAATAGAGAAGCTCACCTCCAGGTCTGAAACTGAAGCCAAAAACAATTGTAGCTATAATTTCAGTACCTGCAGAGAATCTTGCTCGCCAGTCTTCATTCTGGAAATCCTGTTCCACAATACGCCACATGATGTCAGAGCCAGTGGGGAGGGTCAGGCAGTGCAGGAGTATGGGAACACAGATAGAGGCCAACTGGGAGTGCTCTGCCTGTAAGATTTTCCATAGCCTGAAAATTTAAAGAAAGTCTACATAAAATATAGTGTGTGTGTGTGTGTGTGTGTGTGTGTGTGTGAGAGAGAGAGAGAGAGAGAGAGAGAGAGTGAGTGAGTATGCATGTGAATATGTTTTGTGAAAAATCTTTATAATTATTATGTAAACCAATATAAAAACAAATCCAATTGAAAATTCTAGTCTAATCATAGAGTGAAAATATATTTAATTTTAAGAACATGCTGACAGAGAAAAGTCTTTTTGGACTAACAAGCAAGCACCAAATCAAAATTTTTCAACCTTTAGGAAAATCTTCCAGATTACCAACTAAAATATCATTACAAAATTCAAGTCATACTCACTCAATTATCAGAAACTTCTTCAGACAGTACTTCACATACTCCTCATTGTCTTTAAGGGCCAGGTTCAGGCACTCAGCATGGAGACACAGGTATCTTAACGCTTTCAGGACATAGAACAATACATCAGCATCTGTCTGTGTGTACAGCTCCTGGATTCATAAACAAGACAATAAATTTGCATTCAAACCCCTCCTTGAACGGAGTCTGAACTACATGAAACATTTACTTTTGTGAAATTTAAGAGTAATTAATCTCAAAAATATGTATAATACAAAAATTTATACACTCATGCAATTACAAACAATGACAATATCCTCTTTCAAAATTGACAATCCGTGCTTTTTACAGGCCAGATGCAAAGCAAACAAATTTGGAAGCAACAAGGTAAAGCGAAGTTCAATTTCAAGTTGGTCTCCTTACCTTCAGTAAAGCATGTAACAACTGGAGATGTGGAGGAAGCTCTTCTTCCTTCAGCTCATACTCGGGTTCTGGTGGCTCTGACATGGACTTTGTCAACTTGCGCTCCATCAACTTGGCGAGGTTATCTAGTCACAGATTAAAGAAACTTATGAAATGATCAATAGACAGATCAATAGACAGAGAAATAGGGTCGATAAAAAACTTAAGTGAAGCTGCATATTCCTTACTTTCACAGCTAAGCCACCTGGAAAACAGCTTTGTAGCCTTCTCATAGACTTCCAATAAAATAGTACAAGTACTCTAAACTAGAGGATCAGAGAGGCGATACCGCCTCCGAATATTGTACCACCAGCTGGAGCAAGCGCATTCGTATAGACCCCCACATACACAAAATAAGGGACACAGTCACCAGTCTTGTGCTTGACAAGCTGTAAACATGCAATCAACAAGAATTTTCAATATATGCAAAAAATATATGAAACTAAAAATGGTACAATCAAATTTAAGTTCATCGTAAGGTAGGTGAAAGGTCATTTTCAAGGTAAATTGCCTGTATATGACTTCCTATTCAAGTTCAATAGTAACTATGGACCTATCTCTGCCAGGTTTGGAGTTAAAAGAGAAAGAAATTAGCTGAGTTCAGTTAATGATAATAAGTAGATCAAAGGTCAATTTCAAGGTCACACTTAGATTGCCAGTATATGACTTCCTATTCAAGTTCAATAGTAACTATGGACCTATCTCTGCCAGTTTTGGAGATAAAAGGGAAGCAAAATTTGCAAAGTTCAGTTCATGGTGAAAAATAGGTCAAATGTCAATTTCAAGGTCACAGTAAGATTGCCAGTATATGACTTTCTATTCAAGTTCAATAGTATCTATGGACCTATCTCTGCTAGTTTTGCAGATAAAAGGGACTAAATGTTATAATTTTGGAGTTACCATAATGTGCCATAAATTTCCTACAGAAAAGATTAATTAAAATAAAGAAAACATCATTTTGGTCAAAATTCTTAAAATAGGAGGTGCTCTGAAGTTCCAGAAGTTCAAATTTGATGAAATAATGTCATTTTTGACCACAAGTTGTCTGCTTTGCCAAGCCTTATGTATTATTTTTCCGGAGTTCAAAATTTATTATCCATTACCGTACTGCACATTTTGCTTTCACCACCAATATGTATTTTTTGATACAGTGTAACTTTAGAGATAAAAGGGAAGCAAAATTTGCAAAGTTCAGTTCATAGTGAAAGGTAGGTCAAAGGTCAATTTTAAGGTCACATTTAGATTGCCAGTATATGACTTTCTATTCAAGTTCAATAGTAACTATGGACCTATCTCTGCCAGTTTTGGAGATAAAAGGGAAGCAAAATTTGCAAAGTTCAGTTCATGGTGAAAAGTAGGTCAAAGGTCAATTTTAAGGTCACATTTAGATTGCCAGTATATGACTTCCTATTCAAGTTCAATAGTAACTATGGACCTATCTCTGCCAGTTTTGGAGATATAAGGGACTAAATGTTATAATTTTGGAGTTACCATAATGTGCCATAAATTTCCTACAGAAAAAATTAATTAAAATAAAGAAAAGGTCATTTTGGTCAAAATTCTTGAAATGGGAGGTGCTCTGAAGTTCCAGATGTTCAAATTTGATGAAATAATGTCATTTTTGACCACAAGTTGTCTGCTTTGCCAAGCCTTATGTTTTATTTTTCCGGAGTTCAAAATTTATTATCCATTACCGTACAGCACATTTTGCTTTCACCACCAATATGTACTTTTTGATACAGCGTAACTCGAAAACCGTATGGAATACAAAAAAACCGAGACCACCTCCAGTGTTGGGCTTTACATGCTCTACAAAATGCAAAAAAGAATGGGTCTCTAGCATTAACGGTTCCCGAATTAGAGACAGTTTTCAGTTTCGGTATCTTATGGCCGCTACTCCCGTGAAAATGCACCGATTGACCCCAAATTCACGGAGATGAAAGATGACCTGAAGGGTAACACTTTCCAATAATATTATTGGTTAAGTCTGTGTGGTGTCTGAATAACAGGGCAAAAAAAATTTTTTTCGTAAAAAATTTCATTTTTTTGAAAATTTTGGCCCATTTGACCTTGAAGTAAAGGTCAAAGGTCAAATCCAAGGGTATATTTGAAATCTACACATATGACTTTTGGAAAGCCGTCTATAGAAATTTTTCCCATAACTCCTTCCGTAGGGTAGATAATTAGCATTTAATTTTGCCATTTTTAGACAAGGGTGCATTGCAATGAGTGCCACACCCAGACCCCAATACCGACAAAGCCCAAATTTTACGTGGAACGAGTTGAGATTATAGGTGACCTAAATCCATGAGATGGGTACGGGGGCCCTTACCGTCTAGGAGGAGAAGCGGTAACGGTAGCCGTCCGGCGGAGCTGGCGGAGCCAACGGAGCCGGCGGAACGATCCGGACGGGACCGAAACCATGTGTACCGCCAGCGCTAACGCTGGTGGTACAATTAATTTAATAAAATACAAACCTTTTGGATCTCCAAATCAATAACCATTGGTATTAATAAGGTTAAACAAAGCATAATATCAAAGTATCAAAAAAAAATTAAAGATTGAAGTATATTAAAAGTAAACTGAAACTGTAATTAGACAAATCAGACACCAATCACTTCACAATATCCATGGTTATAAAAATAAAAATTGACTTGGAATTATTTCACAGGAGTTATAATTTATCAAAGCAAAGCAGGTGGGTGAAATATAATATTGAAATATCTATGTAAGCAAAGACAATATGCTGGAAAAGTAGCTCCTACTTGCAGTAGTGCTAAATGTAAGACAGACCTGTTAGAAAGAGATGAAGTAAAAAAGTTTATAAGTTATTTATGCTGAGAAAGTAGCGGTAAACAGGGTCAACTGGACAACACTGTAAGCAGATAGTCAAAACAATGTGATATACAAAATTATATGTGTATAATTGATGGTTAAATACTATACTGGACACTGGTGTTAAGTCCAATACCTTCTTTTCCCGCACTTTTCCTATGTTTTGTGTTAATCCCTCTAGATTGGTATATCTTTAAATTTTCCTCTGAATAAGCAAAAAAGCAAACAAACATCAAACACTTAAGTATTGAAGAACAATTTCTAAAACAAATGAATATGCTTTAAAAATAAAATCTAGGGAAATTAATCTAGATTTACAGATCTGGAAGGTGAATTGTGAGTGTCTATTCAGCCTCTCTGAAAGATGCAAACAGCATCAACAGCCATCCTCATTCTCACCTACCAATTACCCCATAGGTGTCAAGCTCAATAACTACATAATCTAAACATATTTAAACATTCTTCACACCTTGTCTATGATGAGACCCTCCTCTTTTCTGAATCTCCTCAATCCTAGGCAATTCTTTCTTTGGTAGCTGAATCTCATTTTTGGCTGAGATGTGTTTGAGGACGTTGCAAGCCAGCTGGTACCAGACAGTATACAGCTCACAGCTCTCACACCCACTACAAGGTTCCTCTTCACTGCAGGTGTGAGTGCCACCCCAGGGGGACTTCAGCATCACCACTAACTGGGTCATCATGTCCTTGTTGGTGTTCTCATTCACTCCTACATGGGGGTGTGTCCTGTTCAGCTCAATCTAAAAGTTATAGCACATCTAATAAAGTGGCCAAAATATGACAAAACTATCCTGTTCAGCTCGATATTAAATTATTTTGATAGGAAATATTTTACTATTTTTCACCAGGTTTACCTTAGGTTCAGTTCAAATTTTACATAGATATGATTCTATTTGGCTGCAAAATTAAATAAATAAATAAAACAAAATATCAGAATTACCCCAGTAATAAATATTAGCTGTGCTCAAAGAAAGATAAAGTAAGCACTAACTTGTTTCAACATTACATCCAGCATCAAAATATAGCAGGACACACTGATCACTCTGGTCTCATTGAAATCCTCGGGGGCCACATAGGCCACTCCCTTATGTGACAGCGTGGGTGACCCCTGCCTGGAGCCACAGCGGGAGGGAGGGTGGTGGAAGATGGGGGTCATACTGATAGAACTGGTAGCCGTCTTCAGCATACTAATCACCAGGGATATTGGGACCACAATCTCCAGAGATGACAGGATCTGGTGAAGAGATTTGCATGAAAAATTTACATAATTAAATTAAATCTAGACATTAATTTTAGTAAAAGTGAAAGCTTTTCACTATGCATAAATATTAATCATTTTTCATAACAAAGTGAAAAAGTAATTTTTAACGCAAGTCAGAATTCATGTTATTTATGAAATAAAGCTGGAAAAATTGTACTTTGTATTTACACACTTAAACTGACTCAAGTCACATGTACCTGCACCTCTAGTTAAAAAGATTACTATAAATGGCAGAAACATACTTATGAGAGGAGAGTTTCCATTTATCTCTGACATAAGGAGTTCTTACCTGTAACCACTGTAAAGCCTGTTCTTGAACAGAGGGGTCTGGGTCCTCAAACCTCTCCCAGACAAAGTGGTACATCTTGTCCACCAATAATGGCAACGGTCCCATTAATATATCAAACATCTTACTGAAAACAATGACACCAACAAGTAAATTTTTGATACTATCACAAAATTTACTGAAGCTATGACTTTATAATAAATGTGCAAGGCACAGACACAGATATAGAGCTAAATAAAAACAGGGACCAAAGCAAGAGGTACAACCTACTTGAGAAGTATTTTGAGCTCCTGTAGCTCATCTCTCGGTACCTCTGTCCTGATGGACTCCAACCAGTACGGCATGATGTAGTCCCACACCTGTAGAGTGAAAGAGAGTGTGCATGTATATGGCATTTCTGATGTCAAAATTCCATTTTAGATTTATTCACTTGCTTTATTTTTTAACTTATAACTTGAGGGAGGGTTCAAGAACCATGAACCTCAGAGGTAACAAGGTTATATGTTAGAATCTGAATTTCAAATGAGCTTATCACTTACCTCATAGGTCACAAGGTCATATGGCACTAAGCAGAATAGTTTGTTCAATCCTTCTTAATCAGAGTGGTCCTGTTAGCCAGAGTGTCCCTAGTTAAACAATATACTTTAAAATGCCAATATACTTTATAAATATGTTGATTTCAGCATTGTTTTATTGCGATCCTTTGGTGTAAAATTATGGGCCTTCCTTTTAAAAAATGAACTGCATGTGAAAAGATTTTAATAGAAAGGCAATGTAATGCCACTGTATATAAATATCAAATGCTACAGTGAAAAATTAATGGCAGCAATATACAATTATAACAAATCCCTCCGATTTCCAAATTACAGAAACATAAATTTCACTATTTCCACTTACTACACCCCTCAGTTTCAGAGATAGATAACAGAGGTATGTTTCCAGTTATCTCTGAGACTGAGGGTGACTTACCATGGACCTCCCACTCTGGCATATTCCACAGGATGAGGTAGAAGACATGACAGCATGATCTCGAAGTGACTCTTGTTCACCAACTGAAGCCAGTTGTAAATGTACTGAAACAAAAAAAATCACATATCACATTTGTGAAAAAGGAGATAGATCACATATGATATATTTTTAGCCAAATTTCATTGTCTATCTACTTTAAAAATATATCACTTTTCTAACATCAAAGATAGAACATATATGAGTGTCAATATATTTTAATGCCATCGGGTTTTACCTCAGCTTTAAGCTTTTCCAAGGCACTGCCCACTCCATCTATAAAAGTGAAATAACACAAAGCCATTATAATGATAATAATATCCTAAACAAAGAATTTTCATACCAACAGTATTTAATTGAGAACTAAAAATATTGCACTGTACGAAATTTGGATGATAGAGCAAACCATTTAAATATACTTGAGATGACAAACTCTACCTATCCCTCCCATGCCTTGGTTGGTTGTGTCTTTAAACCACTGGAACAGCATACCCAGGAGCCTGGCCAGCAGTTCCTGAAGAGAAGTCTCATTGTATTATATTAATATTAACACTATGAATCATTATTACCATCACTGACTTTGGCAAAAGCATCAAAATGATGTATAATAAATAAATCTATTAAATAAGTGATAAAATCAAAATACACAGAGAAGAAGAGAGGGAGGGAGAAAGAAAACAAAAGGTTACAATACACTTAGCACCATTTCTTTTTCAATACCAATTACACAAAATAATTTTTATTCTGATCACCAAAAGCTTAAAACTACACAAAAGTTACATACTATGGGTAATTCTTCCTTAGGTTTACAGAACTCCACCAGCAGCCAGATACCATATCTACTAAGTATCTTCCTGTCATCATTGTTGTTCTCAGCCCCATTCTCCCGTATGTCACCCCAGGAAGCATGGACATGGGTGCCACTGGCCTCTAGAACTTTCTTCTCTTCTGGTGGCTGAGCTTCTTTTAACAAACTAGAAAAAACATCCATGAATAGAAGTTGTAAATTTAGCTACTACATATTTCATATAGGTAACTGCTATTGTGAAGTGTGTTATCAAATACAAAAGTTTGAAAATGCCAGAAAACATATGACTGACATTACAAAACAAGGTTTTTGAAGAAGTTACCATTTCTTTTAATCACAGCTCTTACAAAGGCAGAAATAGTTTTCAATGATAAATTAATTTTGTCAATAAAAAAAAATAAATAAATAAATCCATGTAATAACATAATAAGTATCCATAAAATGAGGCATATCTGCTGCAGCAAAAAAACAAAACACCTGCCACAAGAGTGAGACAACACATAAATGCCTCAAAGGGACAGCTTTTAAAATTATTTATCAAAATAATACATCACATACTATAAAATGTGTTTTTTTTTCTTTCATTTTTCTTTTCATACCAAAACAATCAACTGCAGTTGACCTTTAATCAACTGCAGTTGACCTTAACCTACCTGACAATGGCCTCCACCATATAATGTTGCAGTTCCTGGTCAGAGGTGCCCCATATGTTGGGCAGTGTGCTCTGGACAACATGGTGCTGTCCATCCTTGTTGTAATGCCTGTTGACATGGCAACTGGCACAGAAGCGTATGGGTCGGTTCCCATTATAACTGGCACATGCTAGGTGGAAGCAGGTGCACACAGCGAGGTTTTCATTTGAAGCACAATTCTGCAAGGAAAGGTTGGAAATTTGAAATTATTAAATTCATTAGAGGGATAAAATAAAGTAATAATTAAAATACAATATCATCAAGACATGTAATGTGAAAAAAATCCAATGGCTGTGAAAGATTTTTTCATTAGCTATCTTGTCTATTATGGCAATATACTGCTTCACCCTCAGGCCAGTAAGATTCATAAACATTGCCTTAAACATTATTTTTCATCAACTATACCTTGTTTTCACAGACAGAGGACACCTGTTCCATGGGCAGTAACATATCCTGTATATCTCCAGAGTGCTCCCTGGCTAGGATATCCATGCAGTCCTGGCATATATACAGTGGAGGAGGCCGACCTGACTGTACTGATACTGCAGGGTGGATACACAGCTGAGGAAAAGATGAAGTCACAGCATATAGTGAGATTTAACAGCTCAGAAGGCTTAAAAACAAATTTTCTTGTACCACAAATTATTGCAAGATAGCACGCAGGTCAGTGTCTTTTTTATTTATTTTTAGATAATTGTTTTTACCTTAATTGCAGGTGCAGGTCCAGCTCTAGCATTGGGACACAGCTCTCTTTGGCATGTGAATGGATTAGTGGCTAAAGAATAACGATAACACATGTATAAAATTTGCAAGTTGAGAAAAAATATCTTACAGACATCTAAGACACAACACAACTCAAGTGCTACCAATCCAATAAAAAAACCTTGTTAATGACCTGGGCTGATGAAAAACCAGGGCTAATGGAACACGTAAAATGCTTCAAAGTTTTATGACAATTTTATCAATGATAAAATATCAACTTCTGACATGGCTAAATTAAATTTTCCTCGAGTGAGCCCAGCAACAAGTTTAGGAGGAACTTATGACAAAGAGAATATACAAACAAATCTTACGGTAATACAATGAAATGCTAGATTTGAATATTTGAATAAAATATTATCAAAATACCTGGTACTTTTGTCACTATCCCCTTTTTCTCCCTAGTATTGGGACTCATCTGGGGCCAGTATCTAAACAGTAGATTGGCAGCAGGTGCCCTGGAGGCTGGGGGACCATAGGCTATGACATTCAGTAAATCCTTGGAGATGTCTTTCTTCAAACTCATTAAGCACTCCAAAAGCTGGGTGTGGTAGTCTGGAATGATAAAGGCACAATCTGATAAATGTTACAAGTTCATGTAATTTGGAATGTTAACTGGTAGACAATATCAAACAGACATTTTACAAGGAAAGAAATATAAAATATGCTGTGACCAAACTAGTCTCAAGCAAGCACATGAAATATGTCTAATCACATAGATTATTAACAAACATTGCTTCTATGAGTGATGTAAATTTCAAAAGTAACAAACTAGTTTGGTCTAATAAAGTTTTTAAACATTAAATCTGACCCTTATGCTGTCTCCTACCTTCTTTATCTGTGTACTGGAAGACCAGCATGATGATTGCAGGCACAGAGTCTGTGGCATAGGTGCACATGTCACGCATTCCAACATGGCCTACAAGGTATGGAACAAATCATGATCACCAAGAACACAACAAATACAGTTTGAAGCTATCATTAACCTTTTGACCTAATTAACTAGTTATCCACCAGTATTATAAATTTATAGTATTTATATATAACATCATTCTTTACCATAAATTATTCTTGTTTTAATTAAACCCATCTCATTCAGCAGTGTTCTTGCAACTTGCAACTGAACATTGTCCAATTAAATAACAAGTAAGTAACAAATCTAAAATCATTCTTTACATGTATATGTATTATCTTCACATCTGTGATAAAGACATTGAAGTTTTGGAAAAGACCTTTATCCCCCCTCCACTCCAAAGATGCTTACTAACCTAGGGTCAGAGGCAACAGGTGAGTGCACAGTAACAAGATGGTCTCTTTCTGTAGGCTAGCTGGGAAGCAGGCCAGTGTGGAGGCCACTGTGTATGGCAGACTGTCCAGGAGGTCGTACTCCAAGAAGGGGACCAGGCAACACAGGACATGGAGAGTAGCCTCTGCCAAAGCTGGAGACATTACAAACAAATACAGCAAATTATGTACCACATACTATATTTGTATGCAAAGCAAAAAGAAGTTGTATATGACTCATTTTAAACACCTGAAAGTATCTTGTCAATCATTTGCATGAACGTTCTTAGGAGACTCGGAAACAGGAAATAATGAGCAAATGCGTACAAAATATTACTAAATGCAATAATCTTTTAAAATTTTTCCCATAGAAGTCGCATTGCTTAAGTAACCATAAAGAACAGAACATACACTATGTTAAGTGACTTAATATTGACCAGTACAATATAACCCCAACCCCATCTCTTAAGCCGTATCTGCACTATATGTCTCTTCCTTACCTAGCTGCCCAATCTGCACCATAGGGACAATATCAATGACAGTCATGACAGCATAGTACAGGCCAGAGTAGTTCAGGTTAGGAAACACAGACAGCCGGATACTATCTCTCTGCCTGGCACCAAATATCTCAGTGGGCATGCTGGGTACCTCCTTCAGAACTCTGGAAACAAGTGAAATAGAATTTGCATTAACCTTCAATCTTTCTTTAACTTGTATAATGTTGTATTATTTCAATGTAGGCTCCAACTAATACTACCTGTTTTGGGTAGAATTTGTGAAGCCTTCAATCTTTCTTTTATTTATCTAATTTTGTCTTATGTCAATGAAGGCTCCATCTAATAACTCAATACTATAATAGTATATCTGTTATATCAAACATTTATCATATTTCAATAAAAACTAGAGAGGAAATTTGCAAATCAAGCCCAGATTTTGTCCTTACCCTAGCAAAGCCTGTGAGAAGTACTTGAGTGTATTGGCCACATCAGTCCCCGTGGGCACAGGGGGGAGGTTGTTCACCACCCTGTACTGATAGTCCTTCAGAATACGGATCTTGGCAGTGACTGGAAGGAAATCATTAAAAGCTATCTCAATCATGGCATCCCTTGGTATATATATTGAATTCTTTACTTTTTTCACAGTTTGTAGTTTTTGTCCTCAATCTTTTCCGTTTACATATTTTTCAACGGTCTTAAAATAAATTTTTTTTATTTTTATTCAATTCTTATACATGTTTTTAATATAGTATATTAATTAAATATAGTTCTTAAAAGAGCCTCAAATGAAAAATGTATTTCAGTTTTAAAGCAAACACATTTGATAGATTCAAAAATTATAACACTTACAAGAAGCTGCTCTGGTTCCCATGATGATGTTTCTTGCAATAAAAGCTCAGTTTGCTTTGCTTAAGCAGCACCAGAAGGTAAGATACATATCACTGTGGCAAAACTATTTCATATTTTTGTCCAATCTGATCATGTTCAGGAACCACATGTAAATTTCTGTGCAAGCAGCAAAAATCTTCATGTTCAATGGTCTGTAAAGAAATTACACACATAAAACAATTAAGGAAGATTGAAATAATTTGAAAACCACTTGACTGGAATAATAAAAATTATGTCATGATGAAAAAACTGCGTACAGAGGTGGTCTTAAGGTCCAAATGATTGTTGGTCCACAACTGATAAGATTCAAATGATTCAAATTTTTGGTTTGTTTTAACATCAACTGATGACAGGTGTGACTGAAATACGCAATACAGCGCAACACAGTGCAATACACTTCAAAAATCAAATCCAGTTGCAATTACACAAAAGAAATGACCATTCCCAGCAAAGCAGGGTGATATAAAAACAACCTATATTGCTAGGTAAGTAATATCGGTGATATAACGTAACAAATCAGCAAGACTTTTATATTGTCCGGTTGGCAGCCATGTTGGCGAGTGGCTCTTCTTGGATATATTACTGGCCAAGAAGAGCTACTCGCCAACATGGCGACTGACCAAACAATGAAAAAATTGTCAAGTTGTATCAGCAATATTAATTACTATGTACTATATTTTGCTTTTATATCGCCCTATTTTATTTGAGATTACCCTTTCCTGTGTTTACTTGCAACTGGACTTGTGTTATCAAATGTATTGCACTGTGTTGCGCTGTATTGCAGTGTATTGCGCATTTCAGTCACACCCACTGATGACAGCATTGTGGGGAAAAATATTACAGGTAGCCGGATATGTTTTCAAACTGCAATGTTTCAACCTTCATATCATTGAGGTTTTGGGTCTTTGCCATACTACTGGTACATTTACTTAAGACCACTTATTCTCAGGACTCAGGAGACAAGGCCCTTGCTTTCTTTGGAATTCTTCTATAGATTAATATCACCTGGTACATGTACTGTACATGTAGTTGAGACCCCCTCCTTCACACAACAGTTTGCCTCGAAGGCATTAAATTTATATATCTAGCACTAACCAAAACACCTTAGGTAGTATTATGACATCTTAATAAGGTACTAATTTTAATGCAATAAATGGCAGCAGCAGAATCTGATCAGGAGAAAGACCTGTTCACCTGCGCTGCAACCAGGGCCTTTTTTACCGCAAATGTTTCTTGCATATTTTGGGCTATGGTGGCGCAATGCATCAATGAATCCAATGGTATAGTAATAAAGTGCCCATGTTCATGCTAAGCTATCGAAAGATATAAATACTTACATATACCCATTCCGCCGAAATTATAATTCGGCAAATGACTTGCCAATGAAAAAATTATTTTCCTTTACCTCGATTCTGGGCACTGTAGGTGGCGCTCATCCAAGACACGACACGCAAAGATGCGCAGAGGAGCCCGAATGCATCAGGTGTGAATGAGAGCACACTGAAGAGTGCAATAAAATACTGTACGTGATGATTGTGGGCACACCGTAAGCACCGTAAACCGTAACTGTACTTCGAACAAATTTGTAAAAAATATGAACATGTCCAGTTGTTTTGGTAAATTTTCTGAAAATGTGCCTGTCTGATGCTTTGCACCTATCTTTTAATGCGAGTCAAAAGAATTGCAGATGGTTTTAAAAATATACATTTTATAAAATTCAGTCTAATATCTGTGATAAAGTTACAGATCCCACTGAAATTACAATCCGAAACTTGAAAGACGAATTTTACCCGTTTTCCTTTTTATGCGTCTTTTAGCCTCACAACATATAAAACTTGCTATTCTTTTGTTTGTTTCTTTTTTTACTTATATGAATTTCTTTGACTAATCTTGCTATGACTAATCTTGCTAGTTGAAAGCAGTTTTGGTCATTTTAATAAGTAAGTTAAGGTTGAGGGTATCCGGGCAAACTATCTTAATTAGCGCATTAAAAATATTATTTGGATTCAATTGTCATCTTATAACGAATGACTACGCATAATCGTGGTTTTCCGAGCCTACAGCAGGTAAAGTAGTCTAAACAATCTGTTCACTGCGCTAGGAAGCTAAAAAGGCTGTGTAAGCAACATATGTTATTTTCCATCTCACCCGCTTATTATGAGTCTATTATAACGCGTTCATCTTGTTTTCAATACCCTCCTTGAGACTGAAAAAATATGCAAACAGAAAAAAATATTTGGAGAACTACCGATTATAGTTTGATAAGGATTGGCGGAAGTAGTTATAGTTAGTTCTTTTATAAGTAGACAATGTTTATACGACCGCAGAAAACCTACATTTCATGTAAAGGTATAAAACAACTAATTGCATGGCTTTAGGGTATGCACTATAAAGTAGATCATAAACAAAAATAGGCAATGGACTGTAAAGTGGCAAATGTTTCTTAATTATTGCGGTAAAGAAGGTACAATGAGCCCCAAAAGTGAACTTGTTTGACTAGCGAATCAAAACCATTATCTGAATAGTGTAATCCCACCTTACACTTAATGACATCTCAGGCGTCCAGGTTTAAATGTTTTTCTAAAAAGAGAAGCAAACCACCTATATTTATTTAATGAATTCTGAAGTCGAATAATGATATATATTCGTCTATACTTTATGGTCTACTGTATACCTCTTGGAAATGGTGACCTTTTTTTTCTTTTAACATTCTTAACAGCTCGTTTTGCGTTGTTTAGACTGGGTTTTAACGAAATAGTGCATTTTAATATCCAGTGCAGTTCCTTTTTTATTTACAGCAGCAAAAATGTAATCACCAACGTGTGAAGTAAAATAAATTACTTGAACCGCCAAGACTTCTTTCTTTTTTGTGTATTTCGTTCCCTTCGAGCGCTTGGATATTCTTCCCAAGAGGTGCCGCTTAACCTCAAGGAGCCAGTTGGTTTTATATATGATGGTATAGCATTGTTGCATTTGAGAGGCTATTTAAATATTCCAAGTACGGATTACGCCGATGAGTGGAAAATGGGATGTAAGATCCCGCTCATTTCTCAGCTTTATTGAAGACAAGTGATCTTCAGATTTGTTGATTACGCACCGAGTTCCATTAGATAAGCCATCTATTGCAAACTCTCTGCGTTGAAGGCACGTTCCCACCGCAGAAAATATAAACAGCTGTGTGAAACTTCATCAGAAAATTCACGCACATAGTTATAAAGTCTGATCACTCCAAAAGCTTACGCCTCTTACTAAATTTGTTTTCGGTGTTTGATGCTAACTTAACATTTTTCTATAGAGATATCCTTTGTTTTTATCAAACTGCACCAAATGAAGCATGTGCTCTTTAAAGTTCAAACTTCATGAGACGTGCCTCGTCTGTACAGTCACTCTGAGAGGCCGCAAGAATTTTCTGCCACTTAAGAACAAAATAAGTACCTCTCACACGACAAGTACTTCCCCATGCTGTGTTTCTGATAACCACCTCCTTCATATTTCTTACTCGCTTTTCCTCTTACTTTTAGCATTTTTTTTCTTTTTTTATTCAATTTTTTTTTTTATCAGAGCCCTTTTCTTTCGTAGATTTCTAACTAATTCTCCGAAAAATACTTGTAGACTGGAAATCTTTGGGAACTTACTTTTAGTTAAAATTCAATTCTATACTTTATACAGAGAAGAAATATATACGATTATATATTTTTAGAATGTCAAAGCAGAAACCAGGCTGACACGCGGTGGAATAAAAAACACCAACGTCAAAATATTGAGTAAAGAAAACGAATTATTATGGCCACAACTAAAACTATTAACAAAATAGGCGTAACGAAAAAAATCCAACAGAAAGAAATGAATTTGTGTAGGATTTAAATAAACATCTGTGGGGGATATCTGATACCCTCGTAAGACCGGCAATATAATAATAACCCAACAAAAATTGAACTTTATAAATCTACCTAAAATAATCAAAATTTGAACAAGTTAAACAGTTACAATGACTAAGTCAAGTGGTCAAGCAACAAAAGCAGAAAACCATGGGCACCACCTGTGAAGCGTTACTGGTGCGTTGAAAAATTTAAATAGAGAAAACAGCATCACAATTTATCGTAAACAATTCTCACAACATATACTCTTTTATGCAATCATTTATGAATAACGGCGTAAATGGAATGGAAGAAAATAATACAATAGAGAACCTGAGACCTGTTGATTTAAGCGTGGTTCATGTAGTTGTATAGTCTACGACATTTTGCTTTGTATCCGTTGTTTATAGTCCCAAATCTCGGATCAGACTCATAAGTTTGGCAGCTAGAGTAGCGTTGACCCCTTCTCTACGTCACAGAAGTGACGAGCAGAATCACGGACCACTTCAACGAAAGAAACAGAAGAAACAGAAACCCAGTCAACGAATCTTGGCATCTGGCTGAAAATGTCCACAAAGAACAGTCATTTAATCCAGAAGAGACATTTGGAACCTTAGCCAGAGACTAAAGAAGAAGCCGAAAACGAACCAGGTATATAGTTACTGCGAACCCCATCAAGTGTTCTTTTAAAACAGCTAATGTACCTTAAGCAAAAATAATAGTGAGTGATAAACGAAGAGTATTTTGGTCTCAAAGAGTCGAGATGATCTTTAATACAAATTTCTCAGAAATTTTGATTTTTCAATTGTTTCATTAATTTATCTAGAATAATATTTGAAATAATTAAAACAATAAGCGTAAATATGCAATGTCTACCATAATAGAATAAAACTTAATTCTTTGACTTCAAAGCTTGATGAGATTCTTAATGCATTTGAGAAAAAGTTATTTGACGTTTTCATGGCTGTTCTGCAAACCATGTACGATGATTGACAAAATAACTCAACACGAATGTTACTGTAAATAAACATAACGCAAACATTATTCAAGGTAAAATCGCAATATCAACCCCTCCATGAAGTTACGAAATCAAAGGTTTGTTTAAAAAGAAAACTAGTAATAACGTAAAATAACGTAAAATGTCTGTAACACTGTTCACTATACAATGTTAGGTCACTATCAACTTAGTCACGTACCGACTGCAAATTCCACTATACTAATGTAAGAATAGCAATCCGTTACGACACATAAATAATGCAAAATTTACCTGTTACATCACGGATTATTTCAGCTGCGGTAACATGTAATTACATTTTACAATTGAATCGATTTCAAGCAGGTATATGCAATTCTGTGATTAAGGTACAGCATTTTCTAACGCAGGTTTTCAGAAATACGTACAACAAAACGTTTTTACACAGTTAAGTGGTTGATTGAATTGAACTATAGTTACAATGTATATCTAAGTTGCTGGAGTTTTAATGATGGAATTTGATTAATTATTGCCATTTATAATAGACGTAAGAGAAACGGAAGCCCTACGTGCTCTAGAAATAAGCAAACTGGATGATGCGGCACTTTATTCATATGCAGTACTTTAATCAAACCACTCCCTTCTATTCCCCAACCTAAATAAACGCCGAAGGAGGAAACACAACACTAATAAAATATAAATACCTGACGATTACATAACCCTTTATATGACAGAGGTTAAATCTCAACACTCATTTCGATCAATGTGTGACTCAATTTAAAAAGCAAATAGGGGCTGGTATGGTCTGGAGTCAGTGAAGTCATCTGCTCTAGAGGCAACCCAAAATTAATTAATCATGAGCGTTACTGACCTGGGTGGCTTGGGCATCTATCAGCTTATAAAAACATCCCTTGAGGAATAATTTCACACCACCTTGAGTAGCCAGAAATCATAGCCGACAGATACTGTTCAATACGTACAAGTAAATAAAATATATTTCGAAGGACCGTTGAACTTAGAGAAATATAAGACAAGCCAGAAGAATTATAGATTTCATGTTCACTGTAATATACAAGGAGATGTCGCTATAGGCAAAGGATTATTAGGCTATTACGTGCAAATAAAACACGCTCTGAATACCGAAATCTCTTACAAGTTGAACTTATCCAGGGCTGAATAGGTAGTGTCTAACTGCTCCCGGGGCTGTTATTTGTCACCCATCTAGTCATATTCCGTAAACGCAGCAGAACTCCACCATAAGAGCTATCAGCGTTTAAAAAGTTGCCGTAATAATGCTGCTGTCACAAATAATAGAATATTACAATAATTATGAACAATTCAAAAGTAGTACATTTGTTACATTTCATAAAAAGGTATTAAACGAAAAGAAGCTTCTAGTTGAATAGAAATATCGATGACAAACGCATTTCATTACTTTAGAAGTCATTCAAATAATATCTTGTAGTTCGCAAGACAGTAAAAGGCGATCGCCACACACTCTTCTTTCTTTAGTTTTAGAGCTCGAAGCCGACTATCAGATTTAAACATGGATGTGACAATAACCTCTTTTTGGCTATTGGCGAATTTAAGAAGAATACGCGCACTTGTATAGTAGAATCCACAAACAAATGTACCATCTCTGGGCGTTCCGTCAACAGCAAATTTTTAAAACAAATGGTTTCTCGCAAAATTATAAATGATCAAAAAAATATATATATATAGGGAATGCGCATAATACCACTAACCATGGTTGAAAAGTATAACTGTCATCTTATAAGCGTCACATGTACCAGAATTATCTGATGAAGTAAGAACGTTCTATAGCATTCTTTCGTAACATAAGCACCTTAGTTCTTTTCCATACTAGTGTACTAAGCACACAGGGGCGCGGTATATTTGGATTAATCATAAAGGTTGTTAACAACTCTTTGTATTTAGTATCCCTACGTCCGCTTTATGTAATCACATATAACAGAAATATGAAAGGAAACCATGTGCTTTCAGTACTCTGTTTTATTATTTTTATTGTTACATGGTTGTACAAAACAGTTGCGGTTAAAGGTAATACCACCATTAAGAATTTGCGAAAGGCCTGGATACACAACATATACGAATTTACTCAAGTTAACTCATGATATATCATAGCCGCTTTTTAAACTATGACTTTTTATAATACTCAAATAATATCTTATACATGTTTAAAGGCTTCCAAAAGGAAATAACCATTTGTCGACCGAGTAAAAGAGCAAGAGAGACAGGAGAGGGCGTGGTCAAGGGAAAGGTCAAAGATGGCGTTTTATTTAAATTCTTCATAATACTGCAATATTTCTCAGATATTGCCTTACTTCTTATGTATACTTTAACACGTATCCAATGACTGGCAAGGTCCGGTCACCCATTACTGTATCCATTCAAGCGATTTAAGTCTATAAACTACACAAAATAGTAACGTCCGCGCGTGACTAATTCCCTATAGCTGGCCATCTAAACCTTTGAAAGTGCAACCGTCTTTCTTCCTAATCTGGGCTTAAATTTTGCGTCTTACATTACACCTCGATTTTCAATAATGCTTAGTTGGCTTATGTTATGCTTTCCTAAACCGTACCATTGTGAGACCCGTCATAAGCCTTTCTTGTTTGTTTCTCGTCGTAGAAATTCTTATTTACAAAGTTCGCAGAGCGTAGAATTTATTTGCCTATAGCTCTAATATAACCTCTTATACTCAACAAACTTAGGTATTTTGAATCAAAGAATAAGGACATTCAGACTCGTGAATAGAGTTCGCCCCACTTTTTCAAGAGTGAACAGCAAATAAGGGTTGACATTAAAATAAACAGAACGAGGGACCAGCAAACATACATCCACTCCACAGCAGATCAGACGCTCTGTCCTTACCTTGCGTCTATCTCTCTTTAAAGTTGAAAGGGGGGAAATATGTATTTTAAGCAGTGAGGTAGGATTATCTATTCATTGAGAAATTTTATGTTTAACAAGTAGACTATAGAATTCCTGGCAAAAAACGCAGTAAGTGAATTAGGCCTATAAGATTAAATTCTTCTACGCCCTTTTTTTTTTTAAATTTTAGTGAATGGTTATCGAAAAAAAAAAATTCTATAAGAACTGATTATTTTTCTCTGAACAAAAAAAAAGTAAGGCATGCCCCTTCTTTGTCAAAGAAGACTCTCGTATTATTCTTCTGATAAATAAATTGATCAAGGGAATGTAACAAGCAGAAAACTTGCAGAGGCACTGATTGGAGGTACCATATTCTTGGCTTAGACCCCATTCCCATAGATTTTAGATCGATCTATCCCTGTGGGGAGTCTCACTAGATTACTGTCAGCTTAGCCGGCTTAAATGTCTGTCCCGCCCACAAAAAGCTGTAAGGGGGTAATTAACTACCGTGCGCGTTCGGCTATCAACAATTTAGCGTGAACCCGCAGGGAGCTAGGATCGATCTAAATCTATGGGAATGCACTCTTAGAGAACCTATTTGAGACGGCGTGTTTGCTCATGAATGCCTTGACCAATCGCGTTAAGGTTTGCCCAAAAGCTATACAATACTTGTGTAAACTCAAACTTTCTTGCGGTAAATACCCAGGTACCGTTAGCCACCTATATGATGAAAGGGTCGAGACATTAGCACAGTCATGGCGGCAATCAAATAGTGTCTAACTTTAATGTCGAATTGTCGAGGTTAGGGAGTGAGGTGTCATGTCCTGTTCAGAGGACGAAGATTTGGAAGGAGACCGAGGGGAAATTGATAAAGAGATTCCGTTATATATGTAAAGGTATGTCGATGTGGGGCTGGTGGACACTTGGAGCTCAAAGTTAAACTTGTCTCAATTATATCATATTGCAATTTATTAAATATTTCGGAGAGAGAGAGAGAGAGAGAGAGAGAGAGAGATGGAGCTGTCATGGTTGTGCCGTCACATATAACATGAACTAATGGTAAGTCAACGCATGGTAAAAAGTTTCAAACTTTCAAGGACCTGCAATAGTTTTTCGTGTCTATAAACCAAAACTGAACCTAAGCCTGTTTTTTTTTTTGTCCGAGATTTTAGTGTTAACACGAGGATAGTACGTCTTAATATAAAATAATGTTTCAATTTCATAAAATTATCAATGCATTTAAGTAGACTATACGACTTGTTTTACTGACACTTTATGTGGAGAATGTCTTGGTTATGTTCTCGTGACTATAATACTTAATAACATGTGATTTTCTAGAACTATTGTGGGCTATGAATAAAAAACGCCCCCTCATATTCCCACGCTCATACTCTTTTTAGTGATTCTTCCTGTGGCTATTCCCTCTCACTTCGAACAACTATCCTTGCTCACTGAAATTGCCTTAACTGCAATTGCCGAAAAATTACTTCTCTAAATATGACATCACACTGCGAAAAAATATCAAAACTCGTATCAGAAAAAAAAGCTGGGTTAACATAAATATATAAATATTGCCTGTTGAGTTGCACGCCGTCCATGAATAATGTTTCTGTCAAGGTCGTTAATCAGCTTTTAATTGTGGCACCTGCTTTCTCTAAAAACATGGCGCCAAGGTAGAAAGAAAACAATGCTTTCGCGTGTCACGGTTTTTGAAAAACACCTTGATTTGAAATTCGAACGGTTAATTTTGTTTGTTTTAAATTTGACTTCAAACTATTCATTAATGTTATACGGATTTTTAAAAAGTAGAAAGGAATGAAAACTGAGCATTCCATCTTAAGGGAAACATGAAATAACACTTCATTTCAAGTATCGTATCAAACGAATGGTCAAGACGTTACATTTTACAACACGAAGTAAATATTAATTTAGCTGATCGTGTAAACTGTAGAGAGCGCCTTCATTTATTTCCTACAAATAACGTTAATAACGTTAACATAAAACATTTGACCCTCATTGATAGAAAGAGAAAGACTCACAGAATGGTAAATTTATCAGCAAAGTCTGGAGGCGTAATCTTGTCTTCAGGGGAATATCAGCAATAAACTGCAAGAAGAGATTTTGTTTACTAAGCAGAATACTCCTATTGAGGGGGAGTCAAAGGGTGATCAGGTGTCACGGCTCACCGAACCCCCTCCGCTTCAGGCAGCAACGCGTGAGAAAAAGTTTTCAAGCACTTAAAGCCTATCTGTTATAAATTTTCTAGGCAAATTTGCTTGATGAATTCGGTATAATTGAGCATCTTAGTTATATCACACCTGTTGACATTTTGAAGAAAAGCTAACTGTTTCGCTGTTGTCATGCTCATTATAAATTGATGGCCAAACAAAAGCAAATTTGAGACACCAATCTAAACCTCTTTAATCTTAAAATCCCTAAGTCAATTTGTTTGACGGGAAAACAATTTGTAGTGGATTTTCAATAAAAAACAAAATGAATAAATGACAATTAATGAACATTGAATGAGACTCCAAGGACCAAGGCAATTTTAATGGAACGTCAAGCAGTAGATAATTGTGCTTTTCGCTTGCCTGAGAAACAAATTGTAAATTCCTTTCATAAACACGTTAAGAAATTACGACACATTTAGCATAGACATTAAAAAAAATGAAATAAAACTAAGATGTTGATGAAACATTCTATAATACAGACAGAATTACAACTACCTATTTAAATTACTAATTGGATCGTAGAATATGAGTTTATATGTAACTAGATAGAATTTGCTAAATATAAATTCACCAATGACATTTCAAATTTTCCTTTTTTCAGCTCTAATAAGATGGCACCGTTTACTGAATATTTACGACCCATCCTTAAGAGCCTTCGAAGCGACGATGACTCCTTCGACAGGCTAAACCACAGGTACTCGGCGGCGGTCCTGCTCGTGTTTGCCCTTTTGACCACCATGAAGCAGTACGTCGGCGAGCCTATTCTTTGCTGGGTGCCAGGTAGATTCACAGGAGCCATGGAAGACTATACGAACGCCATGTGCTGGATTTCAAACACCTACTGGGTTCCGTTTGAAACAAGAATTCCCAATCCAGACGACCCCAAGCCGCATATTGCCTACTATCAGTGGGTTCCCATTGTCCTCCTTCTGCAGGCTTTGCTTTTCAAATTACCTTGTGTTGCCTGGCGGCTGCTAAGTTACAATTCAGGAATAGACATCCAGGCCATGTTCAAAAAGCTAGAAAGAGACGAGATCATAGAGCACAAGAAAATGAAGAGCAACGTTAAAGAGGTAACCCGTTATTTAGCGCGTTATCTAGACGCTACCCGAGACCAGCCCCACGGATGCTGCGCCTGGGCCCGTCGTATAATGAGTAGCTATCTTTGCGTGTGTGTAGGGAAACGCAGAGGAAATTATCTCTACATGTTGTTCTTATGGATTAAGATTTTGTACATGGTGAACGGTCTTGGTCAGATGTTTCTCCTAAACGCGTTTCTTGGCACACAATTTACCATGTATGGCTACCAAATAATAGAAGATCTCATAAACTGGAGGGACTGGACGGAAACGGGACGGTTCCCCAGAACAACATTATGTGACATCAAAATACGCGAATTGGGGGGCAACATACACCGCCACACCATTCAATGCGGACTGCCTATTAACTTCTTCAACGAGAGGATCTACATGTTCCTCTGGTTTTGGCTAGTGTTTGTGTCAGCTGGAACAATATTTGGGTTCTTTACATGGATGAGTCTCTTCTCGGTCAATGAACGGAAAGTGTTTGTGAAGAAAACGATTTCCATGACCGGCAAAGGCGACTCCATTGAACAGAACCGAGACACTAAACGGTTGAAAAACTTCGTTACCAAATATTTGAGAATGGACGGGGTGTTTGTGCTAAAACTTCTTGCCAAGAACACTAGCGATGTCGTGATTTCCAGAGTGGTGTATAGCCTATGGAAGAGATATCTGAAACGCCACAAAGAACTCCAGCCTGATGGGTTGCCACTAACTCCAAAAGCAAACGACGCTTCCAGTCCCAGCGCTCCACCAACTGATGCAGACGACAGTGAACCTCCTAAAGGCCTTTGATTTATTAAGAAATCATTCAAAGTTGACGAAGTAAAAATGCACTTTGTCTTTGTCTTCCAAACTATGACATTTTTTTCACCCATGACAGGAACACCTGATCCATTTATGCATGTATTGTATGTAAAAAAATGTGATTTTTTATTATATTTTTTGTATACATATCTAAGTACATCGAATATTTTTAACCCATTTAATGTATAGCCAGTGGATAAAATTAGCCGTAATCTTTCACAGGCATTTCTAGGCACTTTTATTATTGCATGTTTAAAAAATGGAGCTTGAGTTGTGAAGTCTTTAACGTAGCTTCTTAGAGATGATTATGCTATGGTTTATGGATTGAATTTATCTAATTAAGATGACAAGGCATCGCCATCAATCATGTGACCAGTTGTCTAAAACCCATACAATCAGTTTTAAGCGATTCCTTCTACCCACCCATTATGCACAAATAATTACGACAGCTTTGAAAAAATATTATTAGTAATCGAGACGTTCGCAAACACCATAAATCAAAATACTGAACGCGATGATACGACTAGTGTAGAAAGTCCCATTCATCCATATCATGTTAGTGAATTTAGTGCATAAACAAAAAAGAAATCATTCTACGGTAGTTTGTGTATGGCAGTGTTTCCAAAGCAAACAGTTAGAACTGCGGCGTGGTAGCAGGTTAAATACAGATTGTGCAATTAAGGTGCTACCTTTGTGAGGGAGGAATGATATCAATTCTCATTTTAAACCGTCGATCTCAATATTAACATTCCTGTATTGTTAGCAAGGTAGTTGATGTGACGATTGCGTATTTTAGCCACGTATCTGGAGGCAAACACCGGCGGATAGGTTGCCAATGGGCGTTGGAGGAAGCGCGTTAAGTTTTGCCTCATGACAATAGGTTAATATACTATGTAAGCAAAACGACGTCATTTTTCACAAAGTAAATCTTAAATACAAATGTTTGTTAGGTACAGTGTATTTCACAGTAGCGTGAAGTACTATTGGTTGTCTTCCATATTTTACTCAAACATTAGATATGGCTATTTTGCCGGTTTTGTTCCATTTTAATATATGCTGTTTTGTAGTTATAATCTAACGCTTTTCACTAGACTTGTTAATTTGACCTAAATGTTATAATTCTGAGAAAAAGTATATATTATTAGACAATCAATGCAAATTGATAATCAAATACAACTACAATGCATTTTTTCACGTCAAGCTCACAAGAACTTATTTTCCATGTTATACATAGAATGTCTTCCGTCCAATTGAGTCTTCTGTAAGGAAATTTCCGCATTCGCCCTTGCTCACTTGATATTTTTATTGTACATATTGTCCAGTATGTCCAATATTTGAACGACTTAGGAATACACATTTTAATCCGTCCAAGGTAGTATATTTAAAGATTATACACCGCTTGTCAACTCAGTTAACACAATATTTTAATAATTTGCAAGATTACAGTGGTCATATTTTTCATAACAGTAGAGCAACTCCACAACCAGAGAAAGCATTCCAAACCAATTCTAATTTCTAGAATCTGTGTTTGTGCAATTGCCAGATAGAAAATTTTATGTTTATACCTTATCATTCCGTCCTTAAAAACGTTTTATAAGGGGTTTTTATATGGCTGAGGCCTGTGTTATACCATACATTGAAAATCACAATAGATATTGACATATATGGCTTTTGTGAAACATGTTTGATAGATATATGAAATTTTTGAACAATTTAACTTTTTATATTTTGAATTCTGTATTTACAATGTGTTTTTATTCACTTGTTCATTATTAAATTTCATACACAGTTAGTGTTACTTTACAACGAAATATGTGTGATATGTCTGACTGCCACTTTTTTCATGTTTCAAACATGCTGAAAAATAGACATATTCAAAGTTATATTGTTTTGCATTTGGTCTCTCTGAATAAGGAGATTTGTTTTTGAACGTTTGTATTGCACTTTAATTGCCACTGTTTCATAATGTCCGTCTAAACGATGTTTATGTAGATGCCACATTTGCACGCGCACTTTATCCAGAATAAAAATAAGTAAATGAAATGAATTTGCTTCTGTATTCGATTTATCTTTGAATACATATGTATATAACGAGCCAGCTGAAGCTTCCACGTGTTGACAACTAATCTGAGTTCAAACATTTTTAGGAAAATGTACACCGAAAAACTGTACAAGGCTTGCACATCAGACTTGTATTTTTTTTTAGGAAAATAGGCTTACTATCTATAATTTTTTAAAAGTATTATTACAAAAAAAAAACATAAAATGTCTCTCTCTCTCTCTCTCTCTCATTCTCTCTCACACACACACACACACACACACACGCACACACGGAATAACCCGTTTACGCACATTTTCAAACTTGTCCTGCAGGAACCACAGGTAAGCCATGCAGTAATGACATCATAACTTGTTTTGATTTTAACTTTTAGTTTCGAAAAACATCTAAAATACGAGGCAACGCAGAGACTGACAATGTCGAGAGATGGCATACGAAATTTAAAGATCGATTCAGCCAATACATTTTGTTAAATAAAAGGAAACGCTGTCGTTTCAAACACGTATTTAAAATTCCTTTGATGGAATATTTGAGCTAAGGAGCCGTCATTTTTGTCTCAATGTCATGCACAGAATTTGCGTCATCTGAAAACAGAATACAATTCGTGGGTATAATTTCAGGACGTTCACACACAAGAAAAGGGTATCTTTTAAAGAAAGGTTAAAGGGAAATTCAAAGATCAAAGAGAGTTTTTGTAAAGAAGCATTACATTATGGCACATAAACCGATTCAATGTAACGGCACATATTGGCCCATGTTTGCTGAACGTTTAAACCTTCAAGGGGGTGACACATGCACGTGAAGTTTTTAAATAACACCGCCAACAATGGCCATTGCAAAGACTAACCGATTCCGAAAACAACCCTTCATTCAAGGACCAACTTACATAAATATAAACCTACATTTCTGATAAAAAGAAAAGAAGAATAAATTCACGGCTCCATTTGCCGCTGTTTTAGAACAACTAAGCATGTATTTTTTCTTCTAGTTTGGCTATTTTCTGCTTACAATGCTTCTTTCTGCCCACTCGTAAAGGTCAACTCGATTAATATCCACGTCAGTAATTCACATTTTGAAAATCCAGACATGGATTACAAAACCCTTAACCAAAGAAAACAACAACGGACTTTGAAAGGGGGAGATTTGCATATCAATACTTTTATCAACAAATACCCATGTTGGCCTCCCTTCTTATAGAACGGTCTGGTGCTGCTCGGACATGGTACACAAGAAGATGGAGACGCCGCTATTTTGAACTACTTCTGATGAAACATTGAGGAAAAGTAATCAAAACATTTCATTTCTTAGCATTAAAACATGTAAGTATTAAGCATACTGTGTTCTAACGCGAATATGTTATCTTGCAATAATAAGAGGGGAAAATCGAGCGAAAAGACAGAGTTAATTGGCCTATTTGTTAACCTTATCATTTCTGCACATATTGCCTCCAAGATTAACATGAGCAATTGACCAATATTCTACCCTCTGAAGTAGTAAAACTCCTGCTAGGATAGCGGCATATACACTGTTTATCAGAAGCATATTGAAAGGCAGGAGGGTACTCAAATGTTGTACTCTAACGGACAGCCCAGGGAATATATGGTTAAGTTTTGTTTTGGCATGTAGGAAAATTGGCGTGCAATTGTTAAAACACAAATGTAATGTGACATTAGAACCCACAAGTCTCTCTAAATCTCCCGGAGAGAGGAATTTAATAATTTTTGACAAGCGCACAAGCATCCAAACTGGCCTTTTTAACTGATCAAATTTAACAACATTATTTACATAAAGACCTACGTTTCTTTCAAACATATTCGAAAAACGTTCATTAATATCAACAACTAAAGATTTTATATCAGTCACCTAATGATCTATTTGTTTTTGTTTCCAGCAAAATGATTTCCGAAAGCATTAGTGTGATGCGGAAGATCTTCCAAGGTCTTCGAGCAGACGAGGATTTCTACAATCGCCTCAGCAACAGATGGACGGTCATTCTGTTGATTGTCTTCTCTCTGTTCATCAACATGAAGCAATACGCAGGGTCACCAATCATCTGCTGGGTCCCAAAGCATTTCCCATCGTCCTGGAAGAAGTACACAAATCAGATGTGTTTTATCGAGCCGATGTATCACGTGCCCTTTCAAGAGAGGATACCAGATCCTGACTTGCCAACGCCTCATTTTACATATTACATTTGGATCCCTCTCGTCCTTCTTGTCCAAGCCGCCATGTTCTATGTTCCAAGAGCGATTTGGCGCCTCATGTGTGGATCGGCTGGGGTTAACGTGAGAAGTATTGTACTCATCATGGAAAAAGAAGAAAATATGAATAATGATAAAAGAAAAGGCAATGTCGATCTGGTGACCAGGTATCTTGAAAGATTTTTGATGCGATCGCGGAAATACAAGTTAGATTGTAAGGGATACGTGAGACGCATTCTTGTTGGCTACTGGTGTTTTTGTGTTGGACGTGCCAAGGGTAATTATCTCTTCTTCCTATTCTTGTGGTGCAAAGTACTCTACGTTTTAAACATCATTGGACAGATGTTCTTGCTGAACGCTTTCCTCAGCACCGATTTCCATTCCTTTGGCACAGAGATCATGGCAGACATAATGCAATGGCGGGACTGGACAGAAACGATGCGGTTCCCCAGGGTTATTCTTTGTAACCTGAAGATCCGCGTCCTGGGTGGAAACATCCATCGCCATACACTCCAATGTGCGCTGCCCGTGAACTATTTCAACGAAAGAATCTATTTGTTCATTTGGTTCTGGTTTTTGTTTCTAACCGTTGCCACAATTATGGGTTTCTTCGTCTGGCTCAGCATGGTATTTACTAGGGAAAGGCAGCACTTTATGGTTAACTGCTTAAAGATTAAGGGACTTATAAAGAGTGGATACAAGCCACACAGAGAAGATATTAGGGAGTTCGTGGAGGACTACCTAAGAATGGACGGTGCGTTCCTCCTGAAGCTCATGGCTAGGAATACCAGCGATATAGCAGTGGCAGACGTAGTATGCAAACTGTTCAAAAGGTTTCAGAACAGAAAATACAACAACAACTTTGATAACGATGGCGAAGGTATTCCAATGACTGAAAACGAAGCACCTGGCCGACCAAATGGAACGTACCCGAAACTACCAGAACATCAAGACTGATGAAGTAAATATAAATAACGTGTATAATATATATTGGTGATGTTCATGATTTAAAAGGCAGAAAGATCAAATGGGGGAAAACAAATCTCATTGACTTGTTTATCATGGTTTGATTTCTGCACAGCTTCCGTTGGCAAATTTATTACGAAAAAACGACGAATCTGTATCAAAATCGAATGGCTCAGTTGGCTTATCACCCGCACATCACATCAGTTTTACACTGTTTGTAATTAATGTCACCTGGAATGTAATATATTATCACCCAAGAACTGCCATTAGCCAAGCGACGTCTAAGATTCTTTAAACTATACATGTCTGACCATATACATGTCTGACCATGTACAGCACATATTCAAATTCACTGCTATTTGTGTTTAACTAGTAGCATGTGCATGCTATGACAATTTGATCTCACCTATAAATGGTTTTGCTTCACTTTGTTTTTTAGTTCACGCAAATTGGGAGTGACTGTTTTTAACTCATTTTAAACCAGTCAAAATATTAGTATTTGGTTGTTTTTCTATATATATATCTAGGATGCCTGGAAGAGAAGGGGATAATGTATGGGGCAGGATCCGCATATTTTTATGCCTTTTACTGTACATAACATGCTTTATTCAGTGTAGCGTATGCATCTACATGGCAGATTAAAATGTACATGTCACACATTTACGAATAAAACGCTTTTATTTTTTGTTTTTAAATAAAACCAGTATTTGTTGATTAAAGTCCCCAGAGCTCCTTAAAATTCAGTGGCGGAGATGGGGGGGGGGGGGGGGGGGGCAGGGGGGCCCGCCCCCCCCCCCCCTCTGTTTTTGAAAAAAAAAAAAAACCAAATCCCCCCC